CCATATTTAATGTTCAACTGTGATTTTCACATGTTTGAAGTCATGTTGAATATGATTGACTGGAATTTAGTCACAGTTGGCGTTTTTTTTCTCCAAGTTCTGCATCTTTAAATTTACTTTTAGTCTCTAATGCTCCAAAAACTGTGGGACCAATTGCTTAAATATGGGAAAATTCCTCTCTTGAGCGTTTTACGAATAGCATTCATATGTAGTGTTTGTGTCTCAGGGGAATGCATAGCTATTATTTTAATAGAGACAACCTAACAAAAACACGGGGCTCGGTTGAGTGTTTACTGTATAATGGGCGTGACAGTCTACCTTAGCCCAATTCTGAGGTCACTGCTGGTGTTTCCTACGAGGTACGACAGTTTTATAACTGCGGGGCTCAGACTCGGATTGTTTCTGACATCTTAGACTGCTGCTGCTCTCCGTCTGCCTCACGATCTCTCCCATTCTTTTCCTCTCACTTTTTCCTCTTCGGCCTCTCTGACTCTCTGACTCTCTGACTCTCTATCTGAAACACTCTCCTTTTCTCTCTTTCATTTCCTCACGCGTGCGTGCGCACACACACACACACACACACACACACACACACACACACACACACACAGGCGAGAAATTATATCAAGCCTTTCTCAGCCGGACTCAAAGAGGACTCTTGAGCATATTTTAAGCCTAAAGTATTAATCTCTCATAATAGGCTTCTTTGTGGAAGTCGAAGAGGAAGCCCACTTTTCTTTTTAAACCCTCCGTTGGAGGGGACTAGTTGTGGTGATAATCCTAACAAGCATTAAAACAACAAACTAGAAATGCCATAAGGCTGAAATTAAAAATTTTGCAGCACAGTTAAATTGCAATAATTGCATCGGGAGATTATGCAAAAGAAACCCCACAAAGGCTAATTTGAACAGGGCAGCAGCATTTTGTGGTTACTATATTGGTATGGGCAGCTTTTCCTCAACACACATGCTCACAAATTTACATCCACCCTATAACGCAGCCTGTAAGTGTTATATCCATTATGTGCCAAGCAATAAAAATGTGAGGGAACCTGATTTCGGCTTGTTTTGCTGTTTCTGCAGGCAGCAATCCTCGGTCTGCACAAGAGCTTTACATGCACACAGGGAAGCAGAGTCAGCCAAGGTGGTGCAGTGTTGTTCGACGGGATGGTGGCAGCAGAGCAGGAGCGATTCAGATGTTCTTTATCTTCCTCCCGCAGAATAAAATGTAGAGGAATGTAAGCTGTACATTTACAGAGGCCTTGAGGAAATACAATACTCCTTCTACATTGTGGCAGTGCTAATGTAATTATGCATAATTCCTGCACTAGCTAAAGAAAAGATTGCATAAAATATTGTCTACAAGAACACCTTTTCATTTTAATAATAATGTTGTTATTATTATGTTGTTTTTTTTCTAAAGCAACACATTAGTGATGCGGGTCAAAAAGCTGATTCTGTAAACATAATATTAATTTCAGTGAAAAGTATAGGATAATTCATGAAGGGGGGGGAAATGTACAGGCTACCTCAAGTGCACACACACACACACACACACACACACACACAAGTAAGTATATGCGTGTATATATAGGCTACATGAAGTCAACACACACACACAAACACACACAAACACACCCACACACCCTTTTTGGCTCAGGCTCTGTGATCTGATTCTGAATTCAGCATCTTGTTTGATGTCTTTTTGATGATGGACATGAAATAATGTCCAAATCACCAGAGGCTGGAACATCAAACAGATTCAAATGAAAACACGGTAATGTCTTCTCGGACTGAGCCTTATTGCGCCTTCACTTGCCACTGCCCCATGGAAGCAGGGCTTTGACTGCGCTGCAGATAAAAGATGAGTCGATAAATGAAGCACTTTCATCTCCAACAAACTTTGACAACTTTTTATTTTCATTTGCAACGCAAACACTCCACCGCTAATATGCTGCATCATAATATAATCAGATAATCACAGATGGTAATGTCGCGACTCAATGAAAAGTCAAAGGTGGGGGGGAGTATCTTTGAAGAGGATGAATGGCTGGAAATCATCGCAGCAGGATAAGTAGAGCTCGGGATATGCTGATCTCTTTATCAAGAGCCCCCAAGTCTTATTGGGGAAAGGACGTGATCATCTATATATTGTTCAATTTCAGAATCCAATGTTCTTAAAGACAATAGGGTGAGAGAGCTAATACAGAGCACAGGTGACTTAGTGATAATGAACCAATATATATGCATCATGCAAAACTGATCCTTATGCTCTGCGATGGAATCTCTGCACATTCGTTCATCCCAATTTTGTCTGTTATGAACACGCAGATGGGGGAAACTTCACCTCCTCAAAGTGACATCATCGCACACGGCCTGGAGAGTTAGTAACCCTAACCCTAGTGTCACGTGAAGCCGACTGTGAGCTGCCAATTCTGATTCTCAAGTGTTTACGGGAAAGAAGCTTTCACAGACATTGCCGGACCGTGAAACGGTGAAACGTGAGCGGGTCATTGACTATTGCATTTAATTTAAATTTATAACTGAACAGAAGCCAAGTTTCCCTATATATCCACAGACCGGTTCTCTCCCTGTCTCCGTGGGCTTTTGGACGGCTCTGTGTAAACCGAGAGGCTGATGTTCAAACAACAAGGCAGACAGCCATGGTGGACTCATAGCTTTGCTTTGGCCTCCGTGTCAGACTCTTGACAGCAAACTGGCGCCCAGCTCCAACTAATAAAGTGCACCACCCAGATCCTACTGCATGTACTGTACGTCTGAGTGTGTGTGTGTGTGTGTGTGTGTGTGTGTGTGTGGTCAGTTGGAGCAGCATACTCCTGGAAAGCCACGAATGAAAGGCATATCAAACGCGAAATCTGCTAACTCTATGATGCGTCTCCTCTTCGGATGATGTGCTACAATTCAGCACATGGAATGATTTAGACACTGATCAAAAATGATTATGTTACATCTTGTTAAACTTGCATAATTACTGTCATCATGTATTCTCACAGTGGCAGTTAGCCTAAAGGATGAGGCTGGAAATAGTCTATATTTTAGTTACTGTTGACAAATCCCATGAAAAGAAAAAAAACAATAATGAATTAATCCTACTAACAAATATGTAGCCAAAGCCTCATGTAGCTCATTCCTCTGTACCATGGAGCTTCACTGTTGTCCACAAACTACTTGGCGTTTTAATCAGTTGCTCTGGAACAATCATCGACTGACGGGAGGGTATCTATGTTCCTAGGGTCCTAAATTTCCTAACCCCCCAACCGTAACCCTAGCACTGGGGAAACATAAGACCATTTGTCATGTTCCCATGATGTGCTATGGGGTGCTATGTGGGTGACACAGGACTCTAGGAACATAGGAATGACCCCCCAAAATACAATCATCATTCTCAAAACACAAATCTGTTGTTCACAACAATTTGTACATTTCTTGTTGCTCTCATACAAAAAGTTAAATGTACAAGGACAAATATCTTCATATAAGCCAGTGACGCACTGCGTTAGGATCTGCTTTTCTATGTGTAATTCTCAGACGCGTTCATCAGCATACTCGCTGTGTAAATCGTCACGTACAAAATATTGAGCCAGCAGTCGTCAAAGTGTTTCATAGGTTTAATTATTTTGGTTTTGACATTAAAATGAGATGAATCTTTAAATTCAATTAGCAACATGTTCATTCTGAACTGTTTGTGTTATCACATGCTGTCACATGTAGAAAGTGTATTGCTGTTGTAAACATAACTGCTGCTTTAGAAATAACATTTAGTTATATTTAAAATATTCAATTCTAATTCTGTTCTGAATTTATTCTTTTTTTTTCTTAAATATATTTGTAAAGCACTGTTAGTGGCCTAATAAAAAAGAACCAATAAGTATTGCTAAAAGAACTGAACCAGTAAGAGTAGTATACCCATGCCTAAACACCACTATAATTGGTCAAAAACACATTTTAATGGTGACCCACCATTAAATGATCACCTGTGGGTCACGTGGAATCTCTACATTAAAAACCTATCAACATCACTGAAGCTGTTGAGAAACTTAACAAATTTACATTATGTTTTTAATTTCTAAACAGTTCATTATTTATATGAATTAACTGCACTGAGACGTTTGTTTTTTCTGTTCTTTCATTTTATCTATTTCCTGTTTTACATTACTGTCACATTTAATGTACAGAAAGGTCAACAGTGACAGTGAGAAGCCCGTGAACAGTCTGTTGAAGCTTGTGTTTGTATGTCATTAGTTAATTTGTCAGCTGTAGTGAATATCTGGCTTCATTATTGGGATGCTGCATGTGAATACATCCCAATGAGAGATTACATAAAGAAACACAATTTTAGTGTCTTCTGTCAAAATGAGACTGTTCCTTTTGACATTTGACCATTTTAACTAAAGCAACGATAAAGGGACATTTTTCAGTTTTTAGGCAGCATTGATGAAGTTACTGATGAAGTTATTTATTTTTGACACACAAGTGAAATGTTTTGAGTGTGCAACCTGCTTTTTAGAGGTGAAGCATTGTGCTTTCTCAGTATAAAATGTGTGGCGTTTGCTGTGAGTTTTGAGAACTGCAAAAGTATTTCATAAAATGTGCTAAAACATTGGAGAAAAACTGTAAAACATATCACACTGTTGCACCGGGTGACTTGTGTCATTACAATGAACACAGGGCACTGAGTCGAACCCACATACAGCGTCCTGCTGTTATAAATCCCCACTAGTGCATTAATACGCAGCAGAAATACCCCCCCACCCCCCCCCCAAAAAACAACAACAACCCCACTATACATTCCTGTTTGAATAAAGTTTGATTAAAAAAAACAATTAACGGACAGGATTCCAACAGGCTTGGAAAGTTAGACTAACACAGTGTCAGTCTGGGTAATATTCTCAGCCTTATTTTTTTTGTCATTTTCCTACATGAATGGATCATTGCAGATTTTTTTTATGCAAAGCATGAATAAACAGCCAGACATCTGCGAACAAGAAAAAATTTCACATTTATTTGATATCAAACAGGAGTTGAATTAAATATCAGCGGATGATGGGCTCTTACAAAAGAAATAAAATGAACCTAATCAGTGCTGCAACAACTTTTCACACTTTCCAACCATGTTCTTTTTTCCCCCATTTTCTACGTTAATAAATTAATTAGTGTCAAAGGATGAAACATGTCCGCAAAAACTGCAGTATCGCATTGACACGAACATAAGTCTTTAAACCTGACAATTTCCTTCAAGTAAAATAAATTACACAAGTTTCCAATTCACTCCAAATCTGTGCATGGCCTGGTGTTAACAAATATACTACTGGCAAAAACTCATCATTCATGAAAGCAAAAGCACTTCACAAGCAGAGACGTGAGCATGATTTCATTTCATATGGATTGATATCTCTCGAAACTTCTTCTTTTTTTTTTCATTTTCAAACATACTACAACGAGTCAAGTGTGAGAGGAAAAAGGACATTTCCACCATTTTGATTAATTTTGTTTGAAGAATCTTATTAACATTGAAAGGGCATAACTACTGAATGGTTGCCGTTTCTATTTTTTTTCCCTTTATTTCTTTTTTTTTTTACTTTTTACACTAGTGGTACAGCAAAATATATTTTCTTTAGCTGTTACTTTGACAACAGTTAAATGTGCAATAGAGAAAATATAAGGCCTGAGTCTGAATTAGTGGTTTCTTAACTTTACAGTCCTGACTGTGTAGTGGAGCCACACTAGTTCTGTACTTCATGACTAAAAAGACCCTGGCTCTGCAAAGTCCTCCAGGAATATGACAGGAGTTTCATAGTTCTTTGCTTGGTGTATTTATTTTTTTATCCCTTATTCTTTGACAGAACAGAACAACAGAAATGCCAAACTTATCTCTGACACAGCGGCCTGTGTGTTATTCTCTGCACCTCTTTAGTCCAACAGCAGAGCTTTCACAGTCCACATTTGTCGGGCCTTGGGTGGACGTGTTTTGTGTGTTAATGAGATCTGTGTGCAAAAGTCATTTGTTCATTACTTTTTTCCCCACCCAACAACATTTCACTTCCTGTCCTAACAGGAAGGGCATGTAGAGTGTGGAGCCAGACTTGCCGGCTCTCTTGACATCAACCGAAAGGACCCATCTGTTAAAACCTGTGCAAACAAAGATGGCCGGCTCAGAGACTGGTAATGAGCTGCATCTGTCCGTCGCTGGGCGCCTCGCCCTCCTGGGCGCAGCCTTCATTGTTGGGTGGGAGGATGCACCCATCACTGGTGCCTCGGTTTATGTGGTAGTAGGACATGGGCTGTGGAGCATCACCCAGCTCTGGCATGCTTTTATGATATGCGTCCTCGCTCTCGCTTTGAGGTGATGGGGAGAGCTCCTCCTCCTCCTCCTCCGGGGGGTACGGCGAAGCTGAGGGCGAGGGTGAGTCTCTCAAGTTTGGCATGCTGGTGTAAAGGGAGTCTCTATTATTGTTGGGTGAATGGGAGTCCATGTCCTCCACCGTAGTAACAGTCTCAGAGCCATGGCCGCCCTGCCCCTCTAGACGCCTGGGGGCTTTCTGGGCGCTATAGAGCAGGGAGTGAGTCCTCTGGGGCAGGAGGGGGGCCTCTAGCACCTCCTTATGATTGGGGTGCAGGAGCAGCTCCAGGGTGGCATGGCCTCCTATTCCGCTTCCTCTTTGGGGGGATGAGGCCTCGGCGTGATCCGCCACGATGGCGTCATCCTCACTGCCGCTCCCACCCCCTCCTCGGTCCACTGTCACCCTGGTCTGGGGAGGCAAAGCTCTGTCCCGCTCCCTCTGGCCGTCGCGACCTTTGGGGGCCCCGCGGGGCCTAAGATTGTTGTGGACAATCTCAGATATGATCATCTTCTCAAAGGCGGCATCGTCCAGGTTGAGGCCCCCCAGTTCACCCGGGGCTCTAACGCCCACTGTCTCATAGTCGTCGTCTCGCAGGGAGTAGCTGTTGTTGAAATTGCCATTGAGGGGGAGGGTGTCCATGGCACTGATGTCCCTGCTGTTGCTCAGAGAGTGCTGTCCTGCAGAGAAAGGCAAAAAGAGTGCGTGAGGTATAACTTTTTTGCCTTTTGAAAGAACAAAACAGTCTCCACTATGCCATCCACATACAACTTGATACTGCTCAGGACACTTCCCTCTTGTGCTGTTTGATCTCGGGGTGAATTTTAATTTTATGCAAATACAGAAAGTTTTACAATTCAAAAGAAAACCCAATTAGCTTCCCACCATGTCCATCCTCATCATGGCTGAATATCATTATAGCCAATCTAAGAGATTATCCTGAACAATATTGGGAGAAATGAGAACAAAAGATGAGTCAAAAACTTGGAAAATATAGCACGGCAACACGCTACAAAGTAGCTGATGACCAGGTCACAACACGGCAGCACAAACGACGGGGTAGGATGGGAGTTAAAGAAATATATAAATACAAGCCGATGAGGAAGTGTTGTGACATTAACAATGAATAAAACATTCCACCTGTTAAAAGAAGGCAAGACAAAAGAGTAATGTCCAACACAGATGGCCAGCCACCTCTCTGCACTGGGGCCCCAACAAGCACAGCAACAATCCCCACACACCACGACAGACAGGCACGGTGCAATGACTCACTTTGCCACCACTCACATCAAGTGTGTCTGCTCAGGCTATCTGGCCTAAGAACAGCTGATGTGCAAAAAAAGTAAAACAGATGCTTTTTTTCAATTGCAGCAGAAACAACAAAATCACTGAAATAAGACAAAAGTGGAAGCTTGTAACATCCAGCCTGGATTCAGTCGATCCCACTCGGATTGTGTCCTTGCAATTGGATGCTTTGCTTAAATTGTTGTCGTGGATGGAGAATGACAGCGAAATGATGTGTTTAACAGTTTGTGAGAGCTAAAGGACAAACCAAGGACAACTGAATCCTGGACTCAGCAGGTGACAGGGTTCAGCAGCAAGCGCAGTCTTTTTCTTTTTTTTTTTTTAATCTACAGTAAAACGAGGAACATTTCCTGGTGAAACAATTTCTTTCTGAACTCTACATAATTTTTTTCTCCTTTTATAGGAGTGTACATCTATTACTTTTATGTGAACAAAATAGACACACACAAATACACACACACACAGACAGCGGAGTACTCAAATTTTGTGCAGCCCTGTGACTAAGCTCAAGTAGCAGGATGGAAGTGAAGGGGGCCAGTTTGATTTGATATGAGGATTTTATTTACCGGGTACACTGTGAAAGGCTGACATTTTGTAGGGTGAGGGGGATGTCGTCACAGGGAGTCATTGCACACACAAAAAAAGGGGAAACTAGTCTTAGCTTTCAAACGAATGTGTTAGAAAATGGATGATAGCGACTAAAAAAAAAGCTCTAAAAACAACATCACAGACATTTCTAAAACGGGTGAAAGGAGCACAGAGAGCAAAAGGGCCAAAAAAAGGAGAGGGGGGAGGGTGAGGGTTATTAGACACATCTCTGAATAGAAGCTACTTCCAAATTTGCATTTGTTTATGCGCAGGCAGTGATTTTCATTGCAGACAGGTATTGTCTACCGGGAGCAGGGGAAATGATGTGAACAGAATTCAACTGGACACGACGACAGCTGCACTCTGGGAACCGTTCCAGCAGAGATTCATCCAAGATGTTCCCCTTACCGATTTTACTGCATCGGATGAACATCTGCAGAGTATTACTTAGTATTAATACACTTATAATGGAAGACACGCTCATCCTTTTGCAGGAGCTAAATGTAATGACTATAGCAGACAGAATTTCTGACAAAGCTTATGTTAAACTTGACAGTCTCTCGACGCGTATTTCATACTTGGTTGGTGATCTTCACACCAGGTTTTGACATTTGTGTGTCATACTGTGCCTGCTACCCTCAAACTAGTTTCCACATGTTAAATCTTTCAATTCTTTTGTCACTGCTTCCTGATCTCCTGCTGCTCCTGTGTTTGAACACGGCTAAGTACAGCGTTTTCGCCTCAGGGGGAGAAGAAGTGTTTCTACAGGTAAAAGGAGGATTTTTGTGCTGACTTTAAAGATGACCTGCTAATTAATTATCACCACTTCTTTTTCCATGTCCTGAAGTGCGCCAGCGCTAACATGCAATCATCCTACAATGATTAAACAGGTAAACATTTTGGGGCAATAAAGCACAAGCTGTCTGCACACACACACACACACACACACACACACCCCACACACACACTGATTTCAGAGTCTGAGCTGCTCGGTTGCTGCTGAGCTCACACACACACGCGTGCGCACACACACACACACACACACACACACACACACAAAAACATTCACAAAAGGTCTTTGATTTTCTGTGCAGACATTGTTTATGTTCCATCCCTTCTTCATTATCTCTGAGTTTGCTGTAAGCGAGCTTGCAGCACAAAACAAGACCATGATGACTGTAGCGGGTTAAAGCTATATGTTCCTGCATATCCTCTCCTTACACATTTTCGCCATGCTGTTTTTCTATATTCTCTTTTATCATCAAATGCCTGTGAATATCTGAGGGCTATGACTCTGCCCGCATTGCGTCATGTGCTTCTGTTTTTTTTTTGTCTTCTTTGATTGGGTCTCTTCTGCTCTGCCAGTGAGGAACTAGGTCATCATAAACACTGACACGATTTAAATCGGTATAATTTGAAATTAAACTAAAGAAATTGTAAAGATTTCAACATTAAAAATACTGTATCATCCATGAATGCAAGGTAACTGCATAAATAATCTGCACCATCGTGTGCAGCTCACATTCAACAGAGAGGAATTCTCAGTAGACGATAAGATAGCATTGACGTCTCTGAGTTTATCTCCTTCTGTGTTTACAAAGGACAAACCTGCGTAGATAAGAACTACTGGAAATACAGAGGAGGTGTGAATGGAGAAGAACAAACAGTGAATCTAGAGTAATCATTCTCAGCATGTTCAATGTAGGCTGTGTCAGAGCCACAGATTTTCATGTTTTTAATAAATCCAACACACTTAAAAAAGGAGAGAGTTAGATGAGAAGATACCACTCTCATATCTGTCCGTTTGAAATTAAGCTACAGGCAGCCGCTGGTTAGCTTGACTCTGTCATTTGACATCAAAATCCACCTATAAGCACATCTAAAGCTCACTAAGAAACACATTATATGATCAATTAGCACAAAAACTGATTTGTAAAAAATCTAATTCAACATTTTGTGCCCAGTAACTTCCCCATTGGTTACCTAGCAACTGCTTACAGCAAAGAAATAGTCACATAACACCCCCTCCCCATAAAACAGTGAATTGTTAAACAAAACAAACAAGATATAAACTATAAGTGATCTTTAAAGGTGCTGGTAGGTGGAGTTGCGATTTCAGAGCCAGGCTAGTTGTTTCCCCCCTTTTCCAGTCTTTATGCTATTCTAAGCTAACTGGCTGCAGCCTTATATTTAACTGACAGACGTGAGAGTGGTATTGATTGATCGATGTGTATTTTCCAAAATGTGGAACTTTTGCTTTAAAACAAAACGCACATCTAAACAGAATAAAGGTGGCGGGTGAATGTGCACCTGGGGAGTGAAAGGCCGGTGGAGAGGGAGTGTTGCACACCACAGTTTCAGCCAGCAGGTTGTTATAAGGGTTAGTGTCGTGGGTTCGGAGGAGAGGGTTAGTTAGGAGGTAGTTGCCAGTCATCCCTGAAATAACAGGAAGAGAGAGAGAGAGGGGAGGGGGAAAAAACAGTTGAGGAAAAAGAGCTTGAGGTACTGTACTTCATGGTCTGTGGTGGTGCACTGTGTCGACATAAACAAACACTGACATTTGCTGTCCAAAATCTGACACCGCAAAAGATTTATGACCTGCAATCTGTCTGCCTTCTATTATGGACAAAGCAGCCATAGAAACGTTGCAAGACATTATCCAAACAGTCTGCTGATGTAACTGACAAACAATATTGTCACGACAAGTGTTGACCAAAGCATAGCAACACAATCAACTCCAGAGTTTATGTGAAGCAAATTCATCTAAACAAACGCATCCAGTCGAGACAGTAGACAAAACATGTCTAAGTGGCCTGCCATGAATAATACAGTATCCCTATCATCGTCAGCATACTTGTGTAAATTCTCAAGAATGTAATAACTATCCTCAGTCATTTGGACAGATCGTTGAGACACTCTGCCATGTGTGTGGTTTTGAAAAAAACAAACTAAAACGATTCATAACTACAGCCAATCTGCACTGGCACAGTGTGGATCCTGAGCTCCCCCAGCCCTACCTTCATCCTGAGTTAGGAGGCTGCTGCACAGTCAGCCTCTCGAGTCATGCTCGTTAGGATTTGAACTCAAGTCCTCATCTGTAACATTTTATGCCACGCTATATATCGCACCTCTTTTCTGCCTCTATTCCTCTTCTATTTGCAAGATCCTAGTGAAGCTGGAAAGTGCACGAAAAATGCTGTGAACTTTGATACACAGGCAGCATTTAACACTGCTTTTTTTGATTGCTTAACAGTAAGAGAAACGCAACATTAAATCTGGTCTTATCTTCCTCTTTTTATCCAAGCTGCCACAGAGCCATGTAAGCTGCATCCATTGAAGTGTTTATTGTGAATTCAGAGCTTTGCTACAAAGAGAATAGCGTATGTGTCTCGTCTGGTGGCAGTGAAAGTAGCGGTTGCTTACCCTGGTTGAGTGTGGAGGTGCTGTTTATGTCTCCCGAGATGAAGGAGGACTCCGACTGCTTCCTCACAGTGTCGTTCCACATCCGCCTGATGCGGCTCTGGGTGGAGAGAGAAAGCAGCCATTGATCAGGGCTCAACATGGTGCTGCTGTTATTCAAGGCTTCGGGCCCCGAGGATTGAATGGCTATGTGGGTTCGTTGTATACAAGATTCAACAAACCCACTGCTCAATGACAAGGCCGTGCAACGGTAAAACAAAGCATGAGCTATTGATTCAACTAACACCAATAATTGATACTACGAGAATCTTACAGCTTGTAATATGAGAGATCTGCCCTGAGCTGCTCTTTTTTTCTCTGGACAGTTAGTGAAGAAAACACTACCAAATTCTCAGACGTCCTCGGTTTCTCTCTTTAAATAGGTTCTCTCTCCCAACCATGATAGGTATAAAAGAAAAGTTCATATATATATAAATACTAAACTACATTTCCTAATTCCCATCCCTTGTTATATAACCCCGTCAGTCTAACAGCTTTATAGCAATGTCAAACAGTACTAAGTGAAATATGAAATTTCAATGTTAAAACTGTGTATTTAGTTTAAAAAATCAAAAGGTTCTGCTATACAATCATAATAAGCAGATCATTTTGCATAAGGCTGGCAATATCCAATTTTTTTTATTGTCAACAAATCCTATGAAAAGACCAAAACCAACACTGTGTTAGTCCGTCTCTCAATACTTTGACTTCCCCAGCCTCTCTGTGGCTCTCACCCACAAGACCATTTGTCCCTTAGGACATAAATCTTTAGAAACGGGGGGGAACAAATACATATTTTTTTAAAAGGCTCAATGATTTCCTAAAGCAGCTGGTCCCTGTAGTTTTTTTTTAACAAACATTACTCAAACAGAAGTAAATAGTGCATTCGTTGGGGACTAGTCTCAGCTGTGAATTAATACACATTTGGTGCTCTAGTGAGTATTTACGGCGACAATATGGTGTATGTGGGGTCGACTCAAAATTAACTACAGCGCTCCTGTTTATCATAATGAAGGAACATGTCACCCAGTGCGACAGTGTGGCTCACTGATGTGTTTTTACAAGTTTTTAATAATAATAATGGAGCTCTAAGGCACAGAAAAATAAGCTACAGTAAATTAGGATGTGAATACACAGACAAAAACTTGTTAGTAGGATCAATTCATTGCTGTTTTTTCTTTTTTCATCAGATTTGTTGACAAGTAAAAACTAAAGAATATCACCAGACTTTTCCTTCAGATCTTTTTTTGCTAAAAACCAAAACAGCCCATAGAACACTGAAACGAAATCCCCTGACAAATAATTAATTGGAGTTCATTTACATACAAACCTTTTCGCACAATCCTAAACCCTGACACATCTGTTACCGGTGGTGTACACATACCTGTGTTGCAGATGAATAGCGGGCCGTGGATCGAGACGTGGCTGTCTTGGCTGAACTGTGGGGGCCCTCAGGCGGCAGCGCGCCGCAGCACTGGGACTGACGGAAACATTTGCTGTACTCTTTGCGGACCTGCAGAGGGACAACAGATCAGGACGGACTGAGTACACACAGAAAGCGTACCCCCCCAGCCAATCACAGGGCTGACACCTAGAGACAGACAACCCTTCGCACTCACATTCACCTACAGGCAATTTAGAGTCGCCAGTTAATCTAAATAGCAAGTCTTTGGATTGTGCGGGGGAACTGGAGCACACAGACACAGGGAGACAAGTCCACATCCAGCTGACCGGCCGGCAGGTTTGACCAAGTGGCGACAGTGCTAACCGCTACACCACCATGCCACCCCCCCATGAGAGATGCAAATCCCCAAATCTTTATCAAATGCCATCCAGCTGACAGCGGTTTAAATGCCATATCTGTGTGGACAGGGATAACAAACACCGTGATAACATATTGAAATTTTGTAGAGAAGACGCCCTTTGATATCGCTGTTGCTAAGTGAGAATGTGTAAAATATGATGAAATGCCTTGTGTAAAAACTCAAAATGTCACAATATAAATATTTACAGACCCACACCTGCAGTACGAGGATTAGATAGATGTGGAATGAAACAGGGAATTTTTGGCAGTGCCATGTTTCAATTATCTGAAAGTTATCAATTAATCTGCAGATTATTTCCTTAATTAATTACTCCATTTGTTTTGTCTATAAAATGTCAGAGAAAGAATACAATCAATTTCCTGATCCAAAGTCTAAAACCTCCCAAACCTCAATTTACTATATTTACTACTTAGCAACAAATGCTTGAAAAGCTGAAACAAGCTCATTTTTTTGTATTTTTGCTTACTTGAAAAGTGGCTTTTATGATTAATTCAGCTCTATTATACTGTAGATCAATCAATCACATTTTTTTTTATTAATTCATTAATTGTTTAGTCTATAACGTGAGAAAATAATAAAAGATGACACAAGGTGCAGCCTTCACATTTCTTGTTTTCGATCCAAAAACCAGAATGTTAATTTTACAGATATTGTTGGCATTTTTCCACCATAAACAAAATTAGTTGTGTAATTGATTAGAATTAATCCACAACAATTTCAGAATTGTGATGGAGGATGAAATCATACCTTTTTCTGGAGAAGGCAGTGGAAGATGAAGATGAACATCCCTTGCAGAGTGTTGAAGATGGTAAAGAGGTAAGCCATTACAATGGAGGATTCATTGAGGAAGAACAAGCCAAAGGACCATGTGAGCCCCAACAGACATAGTAAAGCAAATGCTCCCAACACCCACGACCTGCGAAAGAGAAAAAAGAGTGATATTAACTAGCGAAACAGCAAAACTGCAGTAAATTTCATCTTTGCTATATTTGACGACTTGTTAAAAAAAAGCAATACCCTCATTTGCTATTTTCCTTTAAGACAAGTGCATAGTGTATAAATGCTGATACAATGTTTTAGAATGAATGTGCATTCTGTATTTGACACCGAGTCAAAAAATATTTCCTTGCTACTCTTCGGAGTTGTTGGCTACAGAGACTGCAAGCGCAGCAGGTTTCTCCTTGGCGGCTTCCAGGAAAGCCTAGAGGAAATAAGATAACTTCTCATTTTCAATGACGACGGCTGGTCGTTATTGATACACGAGAGAAGTGAGCCATCTCGAGAGAGATATGACGAGCATCGAGAGGAGAGAAAAATTGGGACAGCGGCGTGTCACTGAGGGAGGATCCACAGAAAAACCAGAGGCAGTGCTGATTAGACTTGCTGATCCGTTTTTGGTGCTTTTTATACAAGAATACCATTTTTTGTCTGAATAATCTCACAAAATGCAACCAATTATTTCACCTTTTTTCCTTTTTTTTTACGTTACTACACTTGCCACAGAAACTAAACACAAAGCAGATTGAGGAAGACCCTAATTAATGACAGTTAATGAGTTTTGACTTCTTAAAGAGATAATGTGTGAAATCCAGCACATCCACAAATGCAGGTTTTCTGTGTGCTAAAAACAAACCTGAAAGCTTTAATGCCTCTTTTTTTTTTGGCTAAAAAAATCATGCGCCCACACAACATGTGTTGGCCTGCCCTCAAACATATTGTTGAACAAGAATCCAGGCATAGCAATGTACAGGGATTTGTGTCTTTATCAAGGAAATGCAGCCCAGTGGAAGCGGAAAGATGGAGGCGGGCCCTTTTTTTCCCGTTTTTACCATCTTTAAATCTACGAGGCATGTGGTTGAGTCTGTCGTCCAAGGAAGCCTGTAAACTATGCCAGCGCAGGTGCAAAAGGATTCCAAAGGTCAGAAATGCAGTTATGAAGAAATAAAAAAAGGCAATATAACCCTGCATAGTGCAAATACTGAAATCATAAACTGAACTAAAAAGGCACCACCTATATGGACTGAAATAAAATCAGAAAGGGAAAAACATATTGGTGTGGTCGGGTTTAAGAGAAGAGAAAATCAAATAAACTTGTCTGTCAAATGCAGCTTTTGCAATTTCAGAATTTTTTCTTTACACACAAAAGTGACAAACCACTCGCAAAACACACAGAGGCCACCTAATCTCCCAGAGCAACACCCCTCACCTGATACCCCCAAGCCTGGACGAGTCGGGTTTCATGGAGGTGGAGTGCTTCACCATTTTGAACATGGTCACCACCAGGAAAATGACGTTGACCTGTCAAAACAGACACGTATCAGGGTTAACAGACTGCATTCAGAAAGGTATTAGGCATTCAGATCCATTACTGCATCTAAAAGAAGAAGAATATATCACAATCACTAGTTAACAACAGAGGACTGACAAAATAAAAATTGTAAGACAATTGTCAAAATGGCACCGTACAGACTGACAACAAACAAAACAAACTAAAGACAAACTAGATACATTAATTAATGAAAACCCTGAAAACATTGCAACCACAAGGTGGCCAAAGTAGTCAACAGTAGATAAACAGTAGAGTGTGAGTGGATCACCTACTGCAATCAGGTCTAAACATATGGTATAAACAGGGACAGCTTCATTGATAACAGGGGCAGTATATCTAACATTAAGAAGACAGGGCTTGCTTAAGCATACCAAGTGATGAAATGTATATACACAGACCAGGTAACTTATTCCAATCTGCTGGGGCTTTAAACCAAAACGCTTTTGCCAATTGTTTTCTTAACACAAGGAATAGAGCTGAGCAGAGTGCCTAACTTGAACATCTAAAGTACAAGATACAGTTCTAAATAAGGACAACTGAAATGAATACATTTAAATGTAAGTTGAAGCCAGTGACTGTCATTGTATCTTTTTACAAATGGCCATTTAAGTGAATTGTACATTGTACAATGATGAGTGAGAAAAGCACAGCCAAGGACAATCTGCCTCTATAGTCTATTATATGCTGTGTTAAGTGGAACAAGGTCTGATTGAATGCGTTTTGATAGACAATATCACAATAGTCAAGGAAGTCGGAAGTATAAAATATATAAGAGTAGTAAAGATATGTACAATCAAGAAAATGTACTTCTAGTTTGCACAAAAATATCAGAAAAATTACCCAGAGCCCAAAGTGACACCCTTCACAATGCTTGCCTCAAACAATTTCAATTATCAAAAAAAATTATTGGAAGGAAAAGCAGCAAATCCTCACATTTGAGAAGCTGAAACCATGAAATATTTTTGCATGAAAAATGACTGACATTATTATTAAATTAGATGTCAATTGATTTTCTGCCAGTCAACTAGTTGATTAGCTGACTAATTGTTTCGGCTCTACTTGTATATCATGTTAGGTGGGTTCATCAATAACAAAGGATCATATTTTAAAATCTCTTCATATGTTTTGAATTCAAAACTCTTCATTTGTAAGCTGGAGTGCAATGTGATTGTAGCTGAGTGGAAGTATAAAGTGGCATGAAAAGAAAATACTCAAGTAAAGTACAAACACCCTCAAATTTGTACTTGAAAGTGTGCTTATTTACATTCCACCACTGGTTGCTAACCCCTGTAGACTTAGACTTTGACTTAAGAGTACTGCTTAATCTTTGGTGGTTTTGGCTCCATAGCGAGTGCCAACACCAGCATACCTTCACTGAGAGGAATAAGAAAATGTAATGCCTCAGTGCATACCATAAAGTACACTGCCTTCCAAAGAGAAAAACAACAGTAAGAGGTAAATGCTTTGGTCTACTTCACACAGCTCTCGCCTTCAACATAAGCTACACTGGAAGTTTCTCCTTCCTCTCTTGTTTGACATTATAGTTAGTCCCAAAGTACAAATCCTCACCGAATATGAGAATGTATATCTGATGATGTCCAAACACATCTGATGTACCGCGGACAAAAGCTCCAGAAAAATACAGAGAGGAAAAAACGGAGCTGAGTGCCATATTTTAGAAAAAATTTTTAGTGAAGGCAGGAAAAACATTTAAGTGATTCAAGCTATACGTCCAGAAAGGTTTCCATTCTCTCAGGATGTCTTTCTGTAAGCACTGGAGGGCCCGTGGCCTCTGAGGGAAAGGGAGGAGATGTTCTTCAATTTGGGTCGATACCATATTAAACCTTTGAAATGCACTTATGTAAATATTCAATGAAAAATAGGTATATAGCCGGATTTTATATGTTATTAAAAACTTCTATTCCATATCTGCTCCGAGCGTGCAGTTTGAAAGCGTGACCAATCTGCTGTACAAGAAGGAAAATAAACGTCAGAAAGCATGCGCTAGCGAGAAAACAAAGCATAATGATCTCCATGTAGCGCTCTCAGTTTATCAAATACTTCATTTTCAATTCTTCATTCACAAATAAGCAGAAAGTCCTTGTTATATCCCATATTGATGCCTTCTGAAAAACTACAAGGCAACAGAAAAAGGCCTCTTTACATGGAAACAAAGAGAGTGTGAGTGGAAAGCAGATGGGAACCAACAAGGGAAGATGGAAAAAAACGAGTGGCTAAGGACACAGAAAGAGGCTTTTAGATCACAGCTTACAGTAATGCAGAGTTTTGTCTCCCAGCCACTGGGGCTGATCTGTGTCCCCATGAGTCAAGTGGCTGGAGATGCATTTAATGCAGCCGCAAGAGATGACACAGATCCAATGAGACAGACAAGCGGACAGACAGCGAGGCAAGGACGCAGTAAGGTATTCTGCTGAGGCACACTACATATGGACTCCCCCTCATGCCTCGTCTCCAAGGGGCCGTCCTCTACAATATTCAGGTCCCTCACTTCCCTGCCAAATATAGTGAAACAAAACCAGCACTGCAGATGCAGCGCTTCTCTGGGTTTTACATGTATTTACAGCCTATGGACAGATTTACCGTATGCGCCTATATGGAGACACAGTTTGTGTTTGTTCAGGGCTGGGTGCAGGCGTTCCTGCATGCATGTGTGCGTATGTGTCTATGTGCATTGTGAACAACCAGCCATCATATGAAATATTAAAAGGTGAAGATGGAGATGTCCGTGGCTGGGATTGGCTGGGGATGTGTCATGATCCTCAGCAAGACTATGAGCTATGGTAATGGTTGTCTGGCCCACCCACTCATTACTTCCATGTTCGACCCCCCACCACCATCACCCTTGTTTTCCCACTGAGCAAATGACCTTCATGCCTGAGATGATTTTTCCTCCTGATTGCTGGAGGGGAGTATTCTCTACAGCAAGGACCAAACAGCTTTAAGTTGTTACCGCTCACCAATTCTGATTTCAGAGGATTTCATAGCTGAGTGGACAATGATGTCCTCGTGTCAGCTATAATGGGACCACTTTCCTTTCATGCAAATTGATCGGAGAAAGCAGAGTTAAGAGGCTGCCAGCACTGACAGTAAGAAAATCTATGAACTGTTTTCAAAGCTTTTCTTTGAAAGATAAAAAAGCAGAAAAAGTTATCACACACGTGCACAAAACTACAACTTACCACAATTATGAAGGTTACGGGTCCAATGAAGCTCCAGATGAAATGGTTATCAACCCTCAGCCAGCATCTACAGGGTGCAGAAGATGATACTCAGTCCATTAAATCATCTCATTGCCAAAACAAAGTTGTGTCTCATCGATCAGGGCCCAGCAGAGCTGGCTGGATGATAGGCCACAGCAACAGAATAGAGACTCTTCTGACCACAGAGAAGAAAACCCGACCTTGAGGGAGTATTGGCCGCGTGCCATGAGAAGCTGCAGTCTAAAAGCCAGTGGTTATTGGACTCATGACTTCACAGTCTGCAAATGTCTACAAATGTGGGATGTCGGACTGTGTACCAAAGACTCTGAACAGTAAACAATGTATTGTAGAAGAGAATGAATTGCACCTCTGTCTCTGTTTATCACCAGGAAACAGAAATGAAGTGAATACTATAGCTATAAAATAGAGTTTGAAAAAAGGCAGTTTACTTAAATCCAATAAATTAGAGGATTGCAGTCTTACAAATCATAAAGCTTGCTGCTTGGATGAAGACCAGAGGAGAAGTGCATAAACTTTTAACTGACAGGGGCAGCAATTATCCACATGCAAAGAATAAAAAACCAGCAAGCCAGTGCAGCAAGCCAGCACATTCATTAATGCTGCGGCTTTGCTCGCAGCCTCTTCTTTTTGCTGTGACAGAGTGTAAATTTGCCAGGGGGAAGAGGTGGACTACTCTTTGTGATATTACTATCATTAGCACATGTATGCATGCTGTGGGGGTCTGTCTTGATGGGGAGAAGGGAGGACAAACACTTCTCGTTTTTTTATGCCACAACAGAAGAATCTCTGCACACTTACGCCCGCTGTGTGCCGTAGCTCCTGTAGTCGATGGCTGCTGAGATGCCCACCACCACAGCCGGGATGAGGTACCCAGACACGTAATAGTACTTCCTGCGCGAGAACTCGCTCTCGAACACCTCAACCAGCATGAGGTACAGCTGCACGCCCTCCAGACACATCCAGGCGAACGCACCCAGGAAGCAGAAGTGGAGAACGCCGGCGATGATGGAGCACACAAGCTGACAGGAGGACATATGCAGGGTTAGTTGAATCTGAGTTACTCAGAATCACTTTTTGGTACTAGTCACCCAGACTGTAATGCTTTTGCTTAGATTTTGAAAGAAGGACCAGGTAAACCCAGCTTCACTAGATTACAAAGTCTATGGGTTCAAGCAGTGGCTCTGTTTGCAGCTGCTCTAAACAATATTTTTGATTGGATCAAATGACTACATGTAATGTGAAAGGGATCAACTGAGCTTATTAGCATCTTTCAGGTCAATATTTTGGAAAGCTAAACAATAAAGGCAGCTCTTTTAAACAAATACCCTTTGATAAACCTACTTTGCGCTATCTGCCAGGAACACAGGGAAACTTAGTTACCAGCTGGTGAACACACTGGAGCATTAAGAGCCTGATATTTCCCCCAGGAGTTCGTGGAGACAAAATCAGAGCTAAAAGGACAGTGATTATTGGCCTTACATTCATCAGGTGGACAGAAACAATGCTCCAATTGAATGTTAATGTTGCTAATGTTCTTAGGAAAGAGATTACAGTATTTGTGGAAATACATATTTGGTAAAAAAAAACCCAAAAACATTAATGTTAGACCTAAGAGCATCAACACTTGAGAATTTGATAATGTGTATATTCCCACCCTAAAAGGTACAGATCCTATAACAATTCACTAAATCAGCTAAGCTAACTATCAGTAGCCCACAAACAGCATACAATATTATACATACATATACACCCATCGATTTTTCCTCATTCTGGGTGAGTGGAAGAGGGTGGGTGCATTGTTAAAATGTACTTTGTCCCACTAAGCTTTCTTCAAAGCCATAGCACTTTATTTTCAGCTTTCGGTTTTTGTGAAGATCCCAACGTTTCTAAAGATAGAAATGATCTAGGAGAACAGTGTATAAAACCATGCAGTGAATGTTTCTTTTTTTGATAAAATGGTGCAGCTGTTAAAAACAAAACAAAAAAACCCCGAGTTGAATAATTGAATATTTCACTGAGAATCGCAGATCTTCAAATGTTGGAACAAGCATATACAGAATAGATATGTGGTATTATAATCTAATGTAGATTTATTGCTATCTTTAAAGACACTTCAAGGGAAATTGAAGGAGGAATTCAAGTGTTTAAAGGTTAATCACAGCATATGAGCCCATTCATCAGTTGCATGAACATTAAACCCTCTGCAGTATAATTTCCACGGTACCTTTGGTTCAGTCATGTTGATGCCCACAAGGTAGACGAGCTCGCCAATGAAGAGGTTGAGGCAGAGATTTTTATGGATAGTGTTGCGGTCACTTTGCAGGCCTCTGAAGAAGCAGAAGGTGAAGAGGCTGATGGCGAGGCAGACAAGAGACACGGCGATACCCATCCGTGTGATGACGGTAAGAAGAAGCTCGTGGACGCTACCATCCCCCTACAGACAAAGAGAGTGACCTTCAACTCCACACTTTTCATATTGATTGGTGGCATTTTATGACGTTGTCATCACCCAAAAAATAATAATAATAATCCTTGAACAAAGACTTCAATTTGAATAAAGATGATTCCAGCAAGCAAAACCCATTTCAATGTTGGCACCTGGCTATTGTTTTAAGACACACATGAATAATAGGGAACCTATCCTTTAACCTGATCGTACCTGATGACATCTGGCACTCAAACTGAACATGCTTAGATCACATCACGGGGCCCGCGTTGCAGAAAGTGACATCAGCTGAAAAACTGCCACAAAGACAGAGCGACCAAGTAATGTGATGTCCCCATGTGGGTTCCCTTTTTGAGGTAAAATCTTGCCGTGTTTCAGAAAATCTAAAACTGAGCATGTTTCAAGATGGGCACCAGGCATATGTGAAAATAGCAGACCATGCAAAATATCACTCAAGGACATGGTGGTTGAAAGAGAGGCAATTCCTTCTGCGATATTTGTAATTTTATTGAGGGCAGGAGTTGCAGTTGAGGTGATGTGTAGGGAATTGGTGTGAGGCTAAGCCTAGCCTCGGGGCTCTGGTTTCAAGCTGTGGTTAAGGTTGAGGTTAAGACAGATGACAGGGACAGAGTTCATGAGTTGGGACATATTATTAAAGCAACCACAAACTTATCCTCCACATTTATTACTGGCTAGGTCCTTGCTACACATGCTATTTATCATGTAATTGGATTGTAATTGCATTTTGCGACCAAATAGATCCTACACCACTTCAAGAGAGGTGGAAACATAAGTTAAAGCTGAGGTTGTACTGTTTCCCATGATTCTCAGGGACATACGCATGGTGGACGATTAGACATGAACCATAGGTAAAACATAATTATTTCTGATAACGGTATGACACTTCCTGTCCTGATCCACATTTTCACTCTGACAGCCCAGCTTCCTTTCCTCCACCTCTCCCCTACCTTCTCCTCCAGCAATAATCTAATTAATTTCCGCTGAAATGCCAGTCTTGTTCTTGCCGTGTGTGCACAAATCTATCAACAAGACGGGAGAACAACTAACTGAGACAGAAAAATAGCTTGTGCAAACCACAAGGAGAGGGCCACTTACCACATTTCCCCGATGAGCCATGAGGATGGCAAAGTTGGTCAAGTGACTGCAGGAGCAAGTGGTGTGGCTCTTGTTGGTTTCCAGCAGTTTACAGCCCTGAGTGGACCAGTATCCCATCATGCTTCGCTCTGAGTAATTCCAGAAGGAACAGTTGGGATTGTAGTAGTGCTCTTTCTACAAAACATAAACAGAGAGAAAGAGTGATGAAACATATATGAACATGCACTGCAATATGAATGACTGTACACAGGCACACCTTGTATGTTTCATATATATAACTGGAAGAGACAGATGTCAATGCACCTGATGTGTAGACTGTGTGACTTTATGTGTGCTTGTTTCACCAATTAGTACCCGCGCAATTAAAATGATGTAAGATTGTTGGGAGAAAAGGGATCTAAATATATAAAACTGAATCTTAATTTGTTGAGGTTTGAGAAGGGTTACTATGGCAGTTACCAAGCACAAGGCGAAACAAGAGACAGAAAACGCTCAAAGTGATTCTCTAACTCTTCTAGTCTACATCGCTGATTGGTGCTAAATCACCACCCATGACACACTAGCATAATATAGATCTCTTTACTTTTTTTTTCAACAGTAACACATCAAACTGCTGTCCTGGCTGTGCAGACGTTTGAGTATTTTAACAGCCCAGCTGTATAGTGCAGACTGGGGGAGTCTCAGGAGGAGGCTTACATCCAGGTGTTCCAGTGTGAATATCACAGGGTCGGCCACAAACACACGGCTGGACTCCTTGGTTATAGAAGCTGACAGGATGTGGGAGTTGACAGTGAGGGAGAGGTTGCGTTTGTTCAGGTCCCCCATCCCCCTCAGTGTGGCGTTCTCAGTGCTGAGGAACTGACCCAGGTGTTTGTAGAGCACAAATACCAGCTTGGCCACACCTGCAACCGGCAATAATAAGTCATCAGACATACAGAGGGAGCATAAACAAGCAATGTTCAAATGATCTAGATATGGAGGCGTGCCAAAGTCTGCTTATAGTCCTCAGTGGCCAATTGAGGAACTCCTACAAAATGTGTATAAAAGACATCTCCCCTAGCTTGGCTTTTACATTTTAGCCTTATTTCAGCGATGCATTAAAACAAGATTTTTAGACAATTTTTAATCATATGCGCCAGTATATTTTAACTTTGGAAACATCCAGGCTAAGCAAAACTAATAATCAGAATCAGAATCAGGTATGTGTACACATACAAGGAATTTGACTCTAGATTGTACATTGCTCAGGATGTGCTTACTCATACAAAAATACAAAATCACAATAATAAGTATAAAATAAAGTCAGACACAGACTTCAGTGTAGACAACACAAATATACACACTATGAACAAAAACAATATATTGACATATTGACAAATAGTGCAATGAATAACCTCATGCCTTTAGCTCTATAGTTGATACAAGAGTGGTGTCAATCTTCTCATCTAACTCCCAGAAAGAAAGTGAGTTTGCGTATTTCCCAAAATCTCAAAATGTCTGTTCTTACCATTTTTGCTGTTGACTTTGACCGTGTTGGAGGAAAGCTGAAGAGTCGCTCCACCCTTGCTTGTCTGAGGAAACCTGAAGTCTTGCACCTGACCATCGGTGCTCAACACGTACACATCCAACACTGTGATATGGTAGAAGGTGAAGGGAAAGCGAGAGAGAGAGAGAGAGAGAGAGAGAGAGATGTATTACTCATTTCAAAAGCAGTACATGGAGTTTCATACAACTCTACCCAGCAGGGTATGCTTAAAGACTCGAGGTTCATTGTACCAGGAACAGAATCCAATCTTATTGGCAAGACCCCGTAGAGTCATTTACTTAAAAAAACATGTCACTAAGCTGTTGGTTGGCATTGAGAAAGCCTCCGAGGCAAGAGCAAAAGAGAAAATAACAACAAGGGCGGCGATAGAGGATGAGCAAATGCAAGCACACAGCCTACTGCAGCATGAATGTCAAATATTCATAGGATCAAAAATATCATTGAGCTTTTACTTTTACTTTTTCTTTCCCCTGTGGGTTCAGATAACTCTGGGCTCGACGAGCAAATCTCTGAAAATCCTCCAAATTCCTGCAGCCCCTCTCTCCGGTATGCCAGCTGCCGGGTGGTGCTCCCTTTGATGTGTGAAATTACTGAAGGGTCAGGAGGACACACGTATCAGCACACTCCCTCCCATCAGAAACGGCCTCACTTCCTCAGATAGATGGCTTCTGACAGACGGAGATGAGGAATTGTTCTCTAGTTGCTCTCCCCCTCTAGTTTTTAGCTCTCTCTTTGCTTTCCCTCCCTTTTCCCTCGTCTTGCCCTTGATGCTCGCCTGGAGGTGCCATTTGGGCTTTCGACAAACTGCTAATTAGGAGCAACAATCATTTTCACATTTTTTTCAAACTCTTCAAGGGAGGTCAGATAAACTGTTCTCTAGGGTTGTGTGTTTCTTCATATGGTTGTATTTATGTTTCTCTGCTGGAATATTATCTCTATTGTGCAGATAAGCGAGAGCTTGACAAGCTCATAAAAACTGCCTGAATGCGGTGATTAAGTAGCCAATATACAGCATATTACACAATGTATTAATCGGTGCTTTTGGTAGAGACAGAGCAACTAGTTCTTATCAGCTTAGCTAACTACCACTTAATGGGAAAGGCTTGGAGAGAACAGATAGAGTGCTGTGTGAATGGAACAATGACATTCAATTGGTTTCTTTGTTTTCCCCCAGAGGTCTGGACAGTTCATCTTGCAGCACACATTCAATGAGGTGACTTTACCATGCAAGAAAAAGATTAAAAATCAGTGAGGTATAAGACAAAAAGGTTGAGTCGGAGACCATAACCATAGCAACAAAGAGCTATGAGTAGAAATATGACAGTTCACTGCATAAAGGTGACTTAAATGAATGAGATCATGTTGCAAAAATATTGCCTATGAGGATACACTAGTTTTTTGTTTTTTTGGTTCTGTTTCGCTAAATCTTATTCACAAGATGTGGCCATTTTTAAAATGATATTCTCTTTGATAAAAAAAAACAACAATTTTACCACTGAGTTTGAAACAATTTTACTGACAGGTGGTGCACAGCCAAAAAAGAAATATAACTGTCAGCATCATAAATTGTGACTGACAGATGTGTGCGTGTTGTTTTATCTGTTTTACAGTTATCGGAGAGGAACTTACTGATATTCTCTGCCGGCACTTTTACGATCGCCGGCTCGATCAGGTTTTCTGCAAGGACAAAGGCCCCTTCCTCCAGGGTATCCAGTAGCATTGTGGCCGCATGACTTTGTTCTGTGGAATTCATGTCTTTCCAGGATTTCAGAGCTTCTGGCCTCAAGAGGTTGTCAACAGTGTCCACAATTGCCTGTATCCATGGAGACAAGTGAAATGTCAGCATGCTGTTTCTTCCCATCATAACTTCAGTTTAATAACAATGAGCGGGGACTGGGCAGCAAATGGTAAAAAGGGCATGCATGGCCAACAGTGATAGTAGCAACAACGAGTGAAACTGAAATATCAAGATCGCTCCTGCTGAAGACACAAGGGTTCAAGGAAGTCAGGGGTAACTAAAATAATAATGATGATAAAAAATGCAGTATGTTTTATTTAATATTCTGTTTACAGAAAATAAGCATAATCTGAGGAAGCCTCTTTTGGACCAGTTTCTTTATTGAATAATGTAAAAATGCTTGAGGGGAAAAAGAAATACAAACCAAATGTGTTTTTCCCTTCAATGAATGAAGCTGTCTATAATGCTGAATTCACTGTTTAAAGCAGCTATTTTCCAGCAACAATTATCACCATGAACAATATGCTTATTTCCCTAACAGGATCTGACCATAATGGCCTTGAATACCATTCTCCTGGAGGTAAGAGGGCATTATCATGAAATCCATGTCCAAAATGGCCATCTGAGTCAAGATTGGGGGAACATTTCTGCTTGTTTTCAATGGCAATCCTTTCATTTCCTGCTTTCTGATAAGCAGTAAGAAAGCAAAACATTCCACAAAACCCACACAAGTATCATATGTTGATAAAACAAGACTTTCCTGTGACCCTTGAAGAGTGAGTTCATGACTCCTGCGTGACACAATCAACCACAACCTTGCTAACTTTCTGAAATCCCACTAAAAACTGACAGTTGTACAAAGATCCAGAATCTAGAGCAACCTTTTGGTATGATAAATCAGAGTGACAATTTAACCATAGGTGCCATTAACCACAGCAAGGCCCACCACAATAACTGTAATTAACCACAACAAGCCCTTGCTCACTGTACCAATTAGTCACAGCTGTGATTATCCAAAACACTAATTGACCACAGACAGGATTATCCGTTTGCCTGGAATAACAAGAAAGGGCATCAACCAAAGTCTGAACCAATAGATGATTAACCGCAACATTTAACCACTGAGCTCATATCAACCACAGCAATGATCACTGTATCCAGACACAGGGCTCTCAGCGTGTCTTTATATCACGGGCCTAGTACAGAAATCAATCTCTGTGGCCCTAACCTTGCAGGCAACTAGAAGCTTGCGAGCTGTGACTATGATGGAAGTTAAGTGTGTGTGTGTCTGTGCAGGAGAGAGTAGTGGCTATTACAGGGTCGGAGCCATTACAACCAGACAGACACTAAATGGTCCCCCCCCCCCCCCTCCCCCCCCCGGTGAGCCATCCTCAAAGGAACCATGAAATCCAAAAGGGGAGAAAAAAAGGTCGGAGCTGTCTCTAATTTGTGTAGCACAGAAAGAATCAGTGTTCAGACTGAATCCTCTTTAATTCTCGCCTGGGTGGAGGTCACTTTACAAATCACAGGGGTGCTACCAGCGGAGCCCCCCATGGCTCGCTCTCGCAAGAGAAAACAAATCACGAGCTCGGTGAACACACCAGTGAACACTCAAACAGCGCTGACTTCAAGATGATGAACAGAGACAACCTAGAACCCAAGCTGGCAGCCCTGTGAGGCTGTACTTACAGTAAGAAGTGCTTTGAGCTAAATGCTAACGTCAGAATGCTAACATGCTAACAAATATAATGCTCCCATACAATGCTGCGTGTTAACATGCTAACATTTGCTAATTAGCACTAAACACAAATTACAGCTGAGGCTGATGTAAAGTGAGAGTGAGAATGTCTGTGCCAAAGTTTATTTAAAAAAAACATTGAATAGTTGTTGAAATATTTTACTTAGAGGGGAACTGGTTTTACACATGAAAGTCTGTTTACAGGTCTTGGAGAGCCATAGCGCACTTCATAAGTGAAGTAAGTTGTATATTGCATTTTGTCGCTCCAGAGAGAGTGGCACACAAGTTTGATAAATTAGAAGAGAAGTCGGGGTATCACCAAAGTCATTAGGATGCATCCTCTGGGAATGAATGTCTGTACAAAATTTCATGTTCATCCAAGTCCAGACAACAGCAGTATACATAATCCATCATGAAGGAGTCATGAAGCTAGCATGCCTAAAAAGACATTTCTAAATCAGTTAAGGGAAATGATTGCCCTTTTCTGTCAGTAAAATGAGACCTTAAGTAAAAACAACCCAAACTTATAGAGAGCCCCTGCGAGCCACTCAGAAATACAAAATCAGAACATTTGTTTTATGCAATGCAAGGCATCTCCTCTCAAGTGTTTACACCCTGCCCTTGTCTTTCAGCACAGCCTACCCAAGGAAATAAACTCTGCCACAGCACAGGAAAAGCAAAATGTCTGGGGAAGAGACTGAAAAATCAGAATGGATCACAAACATATTAAGGGGCTCAGAAATTAATCTCACAGATAAAACACAACTGCAACATGAGAGAATTTTTTTTGCTAAGGGGACAAGGGATACTAGAAATTGTACAATGTAAGCAAGTGAAAATTGAACACGCTGCCACTTTGATCACACTTCTGGCTGACAGGGAGGTGCAATTACTACCGTGGGAAGGCAATTATTCACACAACTTATAAAAAGCAGACAAGAGAGATGGGGAGAGAGAGAGAGAGAGAGAGTGGGGGAGGAAGAAAAGAAGAAGAGAGAAAAATGAGAAGTGATAGCACACAGAGGAGGAAAAAACAGGACAAAGAGTGATATTGACAGGATTGGTGTAAGACAAGAGAACAGACAACTGACTCAGATGAGTGAGCAGCCATATTTTGTACAAGCAGATTACCAGGCACATACTGTAACAAGACAATGAAGGACACAGAGACAGTTCTGCATGCTGCTGGTCAGGTGTTGGGGATGGGGGTAAAAAAAGTAACATGGAAAGCCTACAGTAGTAGTTATACCTTCATATACGCCCTGCATGTCTTCTCTCTTTTTTGAAGCTTTTCCACACAACAAGAGGATCAAGCACAAAAGACAGATCGTTGGAAGAGGTGGTAAGAAAAGAGGAAGCATTAAATCATGCCACTTACCATAAATAACAGAATTAATGAATAGAAGAAAAGGCACAGTTCTATAAACGACAACTATAAAATGATGCGATAGCTCTAAATGCTTTTGGGGGGGGGGGGGGTTTGTTTGAATTCTAAATATGAATATGGATCACATAATAGCGAGGGGGAAGAGATGAAAAATGCACAGCAGTGTGGAGGAAAAAGTGCTGAGACCAGATTCTGATGCTCCCTATTAGTGATGCTTTAAAATACATTGAGAAGATAAACAATGTAGGATGAGGTCATTTGTACTTCATGGCATGGAGAGGATAATATACCATTCGCACTTTTTGTTGGTCTCTTGGCATTAAATAAGTTGCCTTCGCCTCCTAATTGAGTCAAACCAGAGAAAATCATACATACACACATACTGTAGCTCTCACACAGAAATGGAAAACAAAGACATAAAATGTTCTTGCTATCCAGACAACCTCCACATCATAAATACCTCTAGCAAACACACACAGGAATCAAAAATGTTTCTTCAACCAGGACAAAATTGCTCCCAAGGGCTGCATGAAATTTAAAGGACCATACCAGTGTCTTTGTAAAGCTGATTTCTTGGCCATATATATGTATACGTATGTGCGCGACAAAGGCTGCAGATAGGTTAACAAAATTAAATTAACAAATACATTAAAATTAAATTAAAATATGAATTAAACTAAACATTGAAACTAGCTAAAAGTAGCTTCTTTAAAGTGCACCACCATGTCAAAAGTGTCCTCTGTTGCACCTATAACCACACCCAACAGTGATGTCACAGGGTACTGGGATACACCTGTACATCACTGCAGAAATGTTAAACTACTGGAGTGCAGCAAAAACAAGATTTTCAGGGGCTGTATAGTTTAAGTATAAATCAGTCAGTTTTCATTGCTGAAAAGTTGTAATAGCTGTAAGGAAAAACTGCGCTCTACCTTTCTCTTACAATAAGTAAGCCATGGTTTCAAAAAAAGGTCGGGGTTTAGTGGAGAAATCGGATTAGTGGCCTGCTGCACGTATATGTGGTTTCTTGTGTGCAAGTAAACATCAATGTCTGCATTCATTTTTGTCAGAGTTGCATTATAGTTGCGGAGTAAAGTAGTGCATACTTTTTAAGTCAAACTGCACTAACAAGCAGCAATAATGTCATTTTGACATTAATGCGGACTTGATGTTCACCACATAGGACTGCACAACTCACGTTTGCTAATAGATTTTCATATGAAATGATTGAAAAGCAATGGCTGCCTGGAACAGGAGAAAAAAACAACCATAAAAAAATCTAAAACTCAGCAGCTTGCTTTGCAGAATATCAAGCTGTGATGTAAAGTGTATGTGATTTCTAAAGAAGACAATAAAAACAACTGGTATGGTCCTTCAACTTTTGTCATTGTTGCTTGTAATCAGCCATGGTGTTGTGATGTACAACTCACCCTAACACTATCGATCCCACAGTGAGAAACCTGTTAGCTCTTATCTTCAAATGCACAATAGCAATGTATCTGTCTGAACATTAATGCACAAACGACGGGCGTCATGTTGCTGCAAATCACCTTGTTTACAGAGCAACTGTTTTGTAGAAAGTCTGAACAATGTAATTTTTCAGACTGTCACTCATTTCTTCATGGGACTGCCAGCAGCTGAGAGATGCAGGTACATCTTATGCCTACTCTTTTTTCGCCGATTGCTTGCAGAGGCTCTGGGGGAAAGTAGTTCAACACTTGTCAGCAATGAAGAGTTATTCTTTGTGTTGGTGGGGACCTCATGGCCATTAGCTCCTTAAAGGTAGAACTGCCAGGTGAGCCTGTGCTTCCAAAGCCAGTAATTACCAGCGAGCTGTAGAGGAATGAGCCTCCCCTGAGGGCTAGACCTGCCTCCCAAGCCCCCTCACCTGGGACTTTGTGTGTCCATGAATGTGTGTTTGTGCATGTAAGTGAGTGCATGCATAGATTTGTGTTTGTTGCATGTTGGTAGGTGTCCTGCTAATGAATATCCTGAGTCATGCTGACACAGAGTTGGGCCAAAAGGGGGACAAAGTTCAGGCCAGAAAGGAATTTTCACAGTACCTTGTTGAAGCTGCGTCCAGCTGAGTCCTTCTCGCTGGGCCTAAGCTCCTGCAGCTGAGCATCCAGGATATCCACGAGCTGCTCCATCAGGCGCACCGAGGAGCTGACGTCTCCGGCAAACACCGGGCCCTGTGTGTGGCGTGCCAGCTCATTTGCTAAATTAGCAGCATTTTCGCCACTTCGAATCTAAAAACAGCAGCGAGGAAAAGATGGGGGTGTCACTGATCCATTGCGACAGTGCTTATTCAGAAGGAAAGTCAATGTGTGCAGAATTAATGTAAATGTGAAGATTGCATGTTAAGCAGGGAACATAATAGCATAACTGTAACATACGTGCTGAAGAAAAGAAAAGAATAAACTGACTTAGCTGTGACCCAATGTCATACTACATACTAATTATATATAGTATATACTATGAACTAATGTTTATGGTATGATGCTTTTGTAGTTAGTGTACAAGAAATCAGCATACTTTTCCTTTTTGTACTGTAAGTGGAAATGAAACAATACATGCACAGGCATCAATCAAAATGCTACTTCGGAATTCCACTGCCAATTAAAGTTCACATAGAGAAAGTTAATGCAGCGATCATATCTTATCATCAAGTGGCCAAGTGGGAAAAACATTCATACCATTGAGCCTCAAAGGTGTAATTCAGAGTTAGAGATACCAGAAATCTCTGACAGCTGCAATATCTCCCACTTAGCAAAAAAAATAACTACAGAAGTGTCAACAAACCAGAGGCAATTTATTTGAATTTTTGCAGCTTCTATATGTTCTTTGTGCATTGCCTTTTGGGTCAACCACACACTCAAACCTGCATATAATTAGTAGCATAGTACGGACTTGGGGCACAGTTTTTCATAAAGTCATGTCTACATTTCCAAAAATGACCACTGCCAAAACTCAGGAACCCTTTACGCTGCACATGGAAAGTGTTATTCAGGTTAAGAGAAAAAAAGCATCTCTTCCTTACAATGCAATATGTTGTGTGTTTGTGTTGCATTATGGTCCGTTCAGGCAACTGAAACTGGTATCTGTGCATCTACATTAGATATCCACCTGCATGGCTGTTGAACATCAAAGCAGTAGAGTGAGTGAAGAAAGAAGCTTTGGCTCTTTGATTCTCACTAACTGACTGCAGAACTTGGCATTTATTCCTGATGTTTTAGATAGGTAATTTATTTCTGCTACCATGCTGTACTTTAGCTTCACTTGAAAAAAGCTAAAGTACTTTTATATGTAGCCATGACCAGTTCTCTGGTGGTATATATAAAATACACCAAACCAGCAAAAAGGTAAAAAAAATAAATGCTATAGATGTTTGTCTTTAGCCGTGTAACATCTTTGTTTGCTGCTATATTTTGTAATTGACAAATTTCTGTGTTACCTTTTGTGCCACTTGAGTCACCCAGTGGGAGGTGCAGTTGCTGAGGTCTGGGCCTTTTGAGCACCAGGTCCCGGCCACAGTGCAGAGGAAGGAGGCGATGCCTGCAGTACCACAGAATAAACATGACAGTTGGAGAGAAGCCAAAAACATTGCTCAGATAAAGTTTCTCCTGCTGATCCTTCATTCATACACACTCTCTGGTGCAGGAAACTAACTGTTAGGCATGAACAACCATTTCTAAACAATTTGAAAGCCTGCAAGCTTTGTACAGTCTACACAAACAAAAAAGATAAATGTAGAAGGGACACTAAAACACTATCAGGTTTCTACATAGCTTGGGCAAAACTGACAGAAAAAAAACCCCCAATGGACTCTGGATTGTAATTGCCTGTAAACATTTCAGAACTGTAAACATTTTATATGCTCCCAAACTATGCTTGTCTAAATAAAATACAAGATTAGTCCTTATGAGTGCCTTATCACTGACAACAGCGACAACATATGTAATCGAAGACACATTCCCTTTTTACCCCAACATTCAAAACATTGTCTCTTTTTTGCTTTCATCCTCCAATAGCCCTGCTTTATATTTTGACAGTTCTGTCACTCTCAGTGATAGGGTGTTAAGGTAATTTGTGAGACATTCCTGTGTGAGTGTCATTGTCAGCTGAACTGGTATAACGATCATCAGCAGAATGTTCCTCTTAGTGCCGACTTGCTACACTTACAGACACAAGCAATTTTAAATGTGAGAAATAACTGTGAATATACTGTCTGGATGTAATTAAGATTAATTAGTAGACTTTGGACTTTGGTAGAGTTTTCTATTTTATAACTTTGCACATATTGTGCATCATTGTATTGGTTTCTGCGCTTTGTTGGGACGAACATGGGCAACAGTATTTTTGTCCCTCCATGCACTCTCAGTTAACAGGAATAATTTACATTATGCCATTATATTTAAAAAAGTTGTGTTACCTATTTTCAGAAAGTGAAAAGATCTACTCTGCTCAATATATAGTTTCAAATTTGACACATATTTTAGTTCACAGAAGTAAAGAAGGCAATAGCAAATTTAAAGCTGGGGCACAGGGACATCTTAACATATTTTGTCAGAATCTTTGAAGCTTTGTTCTTGATCATTTGTATGCTGAAAGCGTGATTATGAGACTCTCTTTGAAATATTTGATTGTTAATGGAAAAAGAAAAAAAACACTATGCCTTTTAACCCCCTACAGAGTTTGGTGGGGAATAATCAAGATGAATAAAAATAGTGGGACTTACACAAGATGAAAAAAAATAGCAGAAACACATGCACATGCAAATACATTCAAATGTTGTTGGCCTTGTGAGTTTCAGCAACAATGAGGTGCTCGGTTATTTTGTCTTTTAACTTCCTGTCTACAACAGAAGTGTAATAGACATTAATGTGTTGGTATTTGTGTTTTATCGTCTTTTTTAATCCAATGTCTCAGGTAGATCGGATGTTATCAGGCAACATGACCTTTTCAAAAATGTGGACCGATCAGGACTGGAACTTGTATTCACTATAGCCAGCAGAAATGGCAACCGGAAGTTAAGAATCAAAACTAGAAATGGAAGGAATGAAGAAAGGGGCAGTCTGCATAAGGTCAATGGCCTTGCAAACATAAACAGTGAGCAGAAAATTTTGTTCTTAAAGCACTGCTGTGATTTAGCCTTTAAAAAAGTAGTTGGACATTTTGCTAGTATATGCTAGTATAAAATTCCGCCAAGTAGCGTCTCCTCTAAAGTTCACTAATTCTTACACATTGTAAGAAACAGTTACAGCACAAAAAACACAACTTGTCTCTCTACAATTTCTGTTCATGTCCAGGTGAAACAAACAAGGTACAACATGTTAATTGGCAGACTTTTAAGCTAGCTCTTTCCCCCTGTTTCCAGTCTTCCCCCCCTGTGCTAAGCTAAGCTAATCACCTCCTGGCTCTAGCTCTCCAACTTTGCTTAACGCACAGACATGAGTCGTATTGATCTTCTCATCTAAAGTTCAACAATGAAGCACATAACCGTATTTCCCAAAATGCTTCTGCGGAACATGTTTAAATCTATGTAATAGATTCAGTAGCTGTAAAACAGTCAGTAGCTAGTGCTAGCATCCTGCAGTGGGTGGAAAAAATAATAAAATACGGTGTAAATTTCAAGAACATTTTGGTTTTCAAACAGTTTTCACATGTCATCACCATGTGTCAAACACTAAGAAAATCACACCAGATGGTGGCCCACCTCTGGTTCCTTTGGGGCAGGGCCTCTCCACTGTGCTTCCAGTGTGGGTCTGGGGCCAGTCAATGGCTCTCCTCCTAGTAGCATCACAGAAGCGTCTGGGCGTTGGTGGCAGCTCAGGGACGGTAGGTTCTGCTGTACCTGTGCCACGATTGTCCTCAAATGGGTCCCTCCCGTCTCTTGGATCTGCGCCAGCTACAGTGACGTCAACCGGCCCCTTTGCAGTGGACACGGTGGTGGTGACAAAAGAGGTGGTCTTGGGTATTGATGACGAGACGGAGAAATCCTCAGTGGTTGGCACTAGAATGAGAGAAGAGAGAAGCTGTTAGAGCTCGATTCATAAATGGCGCCTTGAACTCCTTTTGATTCTAGCAGTGGGGGAACTGCAACTGTTTTGAATCCCATGGCTTGTTGGTATTGCTAAAGTTGCTGCTGCCCATAATTCCTGGAAATAAAAAAAAACCATGCAGCTTTCAGCACTCCACCTATTTTCTGCTATCTCGCTAAACAAAATCAAGGCAAACCTGCCAAAGCAACACCACATTATCTATCTCTTGCTATTTTAAGGTTTACTTGAGCCCATAAATAAGACAAGCAGTGGCAGTGGCATCCTTTGACATAGCGGTGATTTCCTCCCAACAGAATCAGTACCTTGTGCTGATTAAATGTCAACAATGAAGACAAAGCCTGCCTGCATTTTACTTTATTTCTGCCTAGTTCATCTCTCTCACTTTGATAAAGCTAGTGTGCGGAAGGAGAACTGCATTGCTCAGAGCAAAAACCATACATCAGCAATAATCCGATTCCACTGTATTCAGTCCACGCCTACCCGGCAAAGCAAATCTATGTGTGAATGTGCACATGCACGTGTGCAAGTGCACTTGTGTTTGCTCCATTGCTCAGGTGTGTTCCTGCTTAAGACCACTGCGTGTGCAGAGATGGATATCTGCTACAGAGAGCCTGGAGATAACTAGGAAATGAGAGCAGAAATAGGAAATCTATCAATTGTATACAGTATATGAATAGCAAATATGAATACAAAAGAAAACACAGTGAATGTTTGTGTGTATGTGCATGTGTCTACATGGATATACTAGTCCCCTGCATGAATGATCATACATTTTTACCCACAACCCCCGATTGTATTTGGCGATAAAAGCAGCTTCCCACAATGAGATCTGCCCTTGTGAAAGGCACTATAGTGTTTTCTTCAGGTACCCTGGGTGTTTCTGGGAAAATGCAATATCATGCTATCTGATGCTCCATCATCAGACACATATCTCCATTTCCTGAGAGAGAATGGTGACAAAGCCCACATTTCACATTTCACCCTAATCAGCCAGTCAGCAGGATCTTTGCTTTTTCATTCCAGTGAAATCTCTGAGTTTATTACAAAGCTGCTATCTAGTGATGTGACCAGGAGCCCCATCAGGGAGAGAACAGTGTTCTTGTGATGCTCACTATAGAAAAAAACAAACAAACCACGCTACAGTGAGGCTGAATTGTGACATTTTACTTAGTGACCTTTTCCCCTGGCAGGAGCCCGGGCTAATTACCTTACACTCATTCAGTCATTGTGTGTCTGTCACCCAGGCATTCACAGGTTGCCCTGGCCAGCATGGCTATAAAAGTAACAGCTGATGTGCGATTAGCATGAGCAGGTGATCATGAAGTCTTCAGTTAGCACCCACAGCTATGAAGGTGTTCAGAATTACTCCAAGGAAATCAAGTAAATATAACAAGTTTTAAATATGACCAAAGTTGCTGACAGTTACATTACATTACAAATGGCATATTATATGTTTAAGTGGAAAACAGGATTTCCTCTTTTTACTGTTTTTGAAAGATATATAAAGTACACTGAGGGAAATGTGGTAAACAATGTGGTAAATCTGGTATTTTTTCCTAAATAGAAACATAATAGTATAACAATGCCACATTGACAAAAAAGGGTGTTTCAAATATATTATGTATTGCGAGTGAAGTTTTTTATTGACTCAGGAAAAGTGAGATGATTCATAGGCTGACTCGGTTGATTCAATATACGCATATAATGCAATACAAGGGCAAGTGTAATTGGGTTTCAGAATATTAAACCTCTCCATACCTGAGCAAACTTCTGCTTTCCACAGGCTGATATGAGCCCTAATATGCATTTGCCTGTAACAGCATGCTTGCATCACCTGATTAACCTGCTCCTGAGACCATATTGCTCCAACTTAAGAGTCCAAAGTCCCATAACACCCACATTTCAGCACAAATTATCACACAGTATTGAGAAATATTTTCTATGAAATAGTTTCTTTGTCATTTTGACATATGCAGAGTTTTTGGGGGGATTGCTGCAAATAACTGGGAATAGCAAGTCCCAGTCAAGGAAAAAAAAAATCTGTCCAACTATTAGGGCTGCAACAAATGACTAATTTCATTATCAATTATTTGAATCATTTAGTCTGTCACAAAACTGAGATAAAATGTGCACCATGGTTTCCCAGAGCCCAACGTGACGTCTTCAAATTCAAACAAACAAAATATTCAATATGTTATCACTGTAGACTAAGAAAAACAGTTAAAATTCACATTTTAAACCAGACAAAAGCTGGAGTCAGTGTCTTTTTTTGTTTAAAAGGTGACTTTAAAGCCTATTCTAACTTGGCTTCAAATCATAGGTATTTCTCTGTAACACTAAATATTCATGACTAAAAAAGCAACCATAAAAGTTAAAAAACAGCTTGAACAGTTTCACCAAGTGTCATCAGATTCTGATTCAAATGTTGCTCATTCCTGATTGGTGCAACGGAGTACGTGACGTGCATTTTCTAAATAAGCCCGGCCAACTTCAAACCAGTCATAAGAGCCCTACTCAGCTCTACTTCCTGTGTCAAAGAAATTCTAAACAACAATATAGATGTAATTCTTGGTATTTCCATCATGTTCATGTTTGTTCACACATACATACATTTCCAAATGATAACCCATCCCGAAATATGATTTGCTGAGACATTTTAAAATTAACTGGCATTCCTGTATGAGCTAAACAATTAGTTGATAATCACTTAATCGTTTTTCCAAGCATAAATACTAAATATTGCCTGGTTCTATCTTTAAAACAGGGTGAAGATTTTCTGCTTTTCTCTGTTTATTTCATTGTAAATTAAACGCTTGGATTTTGGACAGCTGATTGGAAAAAAATTACCAATTTGAAGACATCACTTTGTGATCCAAATGAAAATATTCGTAAGTTACAGCCTTAACTCACAACATGTTCCATCCTAGTTTAAGAAAAAAGTACATTTTCATGCTATAAGACACTAGGTCATTATCTCTCTCATGTTCATTCTTAGGCAGAACCATGTCATTTTAATTAGGAGGGGCACCCAAACGTCGACTGAGTGATTTTTTTTTAAAGACAAGTCACAATCTTTTTGGATGTTGTCAGTCAGCATGTCTTGGTTCATCAGAGTGTGATTGTGAAGAACATCAAAAATACAACATATCTATTTAACACTACAACAGATATGCTTGTCAGATGTTGATGCATTCGTGGGCTTAATTTGATGTCTCTTCACCAGGCGCCCTACAATTTTCTTTTGATTGCAAAGAGCAAATTCCCGTCCAGTAAGAGCCCTGTGTCCTCTGACAGCACTCAACCAAGAGAGGGCTGCACCAATTAGTTATCATTTCTCTCAAGAGGCAATGAAGTCACTCTTTATGGGCAATCTGACACCAAAGGCATACTGTTGCCATATGCCGAATAATACCTCTTGTAAATAATGGAAGCGTTTGAGACTGAACACTTGAAAAATGGCTGTCACCAGAGTCTAAACAGAGTGTGTAAATGAAAACTGAGCTAAAAAGGAAGGAAAACCATAACGCATGCATGACCATCAATCAAGACATCAGAGATGAAGCAGAATTAGTTTTATCACTTTATAGCCCCCCAGAGTCATTTAGATATTTGCAAGGAAGATGACAAAAACATTTCAATCATAATCAGATGATCAGAGGCCTAAATATTATGTTTGTCCTTGCTTTTGCAGATAACACCCCTGCACCAAAAGAGCATTTTTATCTCAAATTACATACATACTTTCAGAGCAATAACAATCTACCTGTCCATACAAACGCCAGGATAAATGGATCATGAGCGGCCTAATACCTGCAATTAGGTAAGAGCAATGACAACTCGCAGCCAAATCAAGCTGTTTTAATTGGTTTACATTTTGAAGATGAATGACTTACAAGGCTAATCCTCATAGTACAATAACAAATAGACACATATTGAATAAGCAGGGCTCAGTTAAAAATCATCCTTACTTTAGCAGGGTGTTATTAAATGCTCCAGTGTCCTCCAGTCCCCTTTTTTACCTTGGAAGTTTGCTGCCCTCGAACAGAGAAGCACCTGATTCAAATCTGTACTGCTAGAAAATGAGCGATGAACCTTGTGTCAGTTAGCAAGGATCCATTTCTAAACCATATGAGATGGTGAGCAAACTCCCTATTGTCAATCAAAATGAAAAAGAAAAAAAACATGCGGCAGCTGTGGTATAATTTTTTTTCTTCTCTTTTTATCGCACTGTGACCATGAACAAATGGAATAACAAAAAAAGAGCATGATAACTACACAGCACCGTAATTGTAAGGCCATAGCCAGTAACTGGTAGGATTAGCTTAGCATAAAGACTGGGAACAGGAGAAAACAGCTAGCCTGGCTCTGCCCAAACATAACAAAATCCAACTGTCAGAACCTCTAAAGCTCACTAATTAACACATTATGTCTTGTTTGTTTAATCCTCAAAAAAAGTGTAAAAATGACAATTAGTTGTTTTATGGTGGGATATGTGCCAGACTATTTACTGGCCAGGGACAGTAACTTCCTGGAGTCTCCGCTGGATACCTGGCAACTGCTCAGAGCCAAGAAAACGTCCGCCATATAACCCCCAGTAGAACAAAAAACTGTCACAAAAAACACTCTTTTCTAAGGATTAAACAAACAAGATGTTACGTGTTAATTAACAGTGTTCATAAGTTACTGGACAATTACTCACTACATATTACTTATTGAAAAACAAACACTAACCATTCATTACTTTCATTCTCTCAGCTCCCCTCTGTCAAAGGAGCATTTAAACAACACCAAATCCCCCACATCACATATTGTACATTTAACACCTGTAGAAATAGGAAACGAGACATTGTGGTTTAACAAGCAGTATTTATTGATCATCTACAGCTAGTTTAATGTTAACACACAGTAAGGCCGCCTGGTCCACACCCCCTCCAAACAACCGATTCTTAAATGTTGGATTACCAGTGTGGTGGTGAACGTTAGCAAGCCAGCTAAAACTCAAAACATGCAAACTATAATCTCTTACACTGCGTGTTGCTGAAAAAAGTAACCACCTTACTGTAACAGGTAATTAAGTTATGCAATACTGCCTAAACACTCTTCATTAGTGAGGTTCTGGTAGGTGGATTTTGTAACCTTGGGACAGAACCAGGCTAGTCGTTTGCCCATTTCCAGTCTTTGTGCTGAGCTAAGCTAACAGGCTGCTGGTGGCAGCTTCATATTTATTCTATTCATCCTGTCATCTAATCCACAGAAAACAAACAAGAGTGGTTCCCAAAATGTCGAACCTTTGCTTTAAACAAACTAAATGTTAAATGTTGTTACGCTAATGATATACAACAAGTAAGATGTGGTATGACTCCATGTGTCTTTATTCATTGTGCATGCATGCTTTATGCATTCTAGCTTAGACTCAATAACAAGACTGTCTCAGAGGATATGAACTGTGTAAGAGCTACAGTTGGCCTTTTTTCCTCTTTACCTAGAGCCAGTGCTGGTAATTAATGACAGAGAAACAAATCCCACAAGACATGAATTTTGCATTAGGCTGTTTATATGCACTCATGATGTTCTGCTTCATTCAAGCCTACGTGATGGGAGTACATGGCCTGGCATAGAAGGTAAAGGCCAAATCATGTGCAGTTTCTTATCCAACGCTGCACACTCCTGCACAAACTGTACCGTTCTTTCATTCTGAAAAACAGATATATTGTAAAACTTTTTTTAAATTTTATTGTCAAATTTGCAATGTATTTTATTTTTGCAGTACTTGTTTTTTAAACTTTTTTTCTTCCTATGTTTATTCTTATGCATCAAAACACCAAAGCAAATTCCTTGTATGTGAAAACCTCCTTGACAATAAACCTGATTCTGATTCTGTGGAATAAGTCACTATTTCTGCTAAATGGAAAAAACTCAAGCCATCAAGACCTCGTTGCAGGCCTCACCGCTTTACTGGCACTTGTTCTTTAAAGAGCAGTAGACAGAAAAAGCTCGGCCGGACATATCCTGTGTCTGTGCCGGGTAATTTATGAGGCCTGAAACGGAGTACTGTGGAGGAGCAGACATAGTGCAGTCACAACTAGGCGGTCTGAGTCAGAGGAAGGTGGCAGAGCAGTTCACAATAAAGACACACACATACAGACAGGAAGATATATGTGCAAACAGAAATACACCTCAGAGCAAAAATACTCCAAAACTCTCTGTCGTGAATGCCTGTAATGTCCACTTAAACAATTCCCTTCCATGTTCTCGCCAGAGCTGATCCATGGCAAAAAGGAGAACAATTAGAGCTCTTGCAAATCTCCTGACACCTTTACTTCAGCCTCTATTTCAGTTGTCGAACAGCATTCTTCAGAGGGTAGAACACAGGATTAGTGCATGATACATCTATAAATGTCCTCTGTCTTGAAGTCTCACCTGGAGGCGTCTGGGATATAAAAGCAAACCAAAGTGCAGCAAGGTGCACAGCTGGGTTTAGCCACAAAATGGCTGAGCAAAAAAAAGAAAAAAAACAGCTTTGTGTTGATAGATATCTATCATGTGGCATGCAGGATATGAAATAATGGTTTTTCTTGACATTTCAATTCAGCGCAGAGCCCACTTGCTCACTGCTACCAGATTACACCGAGTTGCAAAGCCTTTCGGACAAAGTCATTAATTTTCTGCCAATCGTCTTTAAGGCCTCAGATCAATGCTACCTCAAGACAAATTAATTTTCTCTCCTTCTTAGTTTGAAATACTGTCGACAATTACCAGCTCTTCTGATTGGTTTTTTGAATTCATTGGACTGAAATCAGTTACTGCATCTGCACATCACAGAGAATAGTAACGGTTGGCACTTAGGTGTGCTTTTTATTGGCATGCACCTCTTTTAGGGAGACCTCTGAGGAGGGGGACTCTCTATTAGTATTGATCATTGGTGTTTTGTGTTCACAGTGCATTAACAGAGCATAGACATTTTCTTTAAATGCGTGTGAATTGTTTGGAACAATAAGCAGAAAGATCAATATGGGGAATGATCTTAGCTAATGACTTCAAACGGGGCGAGAATTAAGAAACCCGCAGTGTAACAAACACTCTACATAAGGTAAAGGCAATACCGACATGTTGCTAAGGTCAATTATTTTCTGCTTTGATCACTTAGTTGAACTCCCTTAATATAAACCCCTAATCCTGCCGGCACTTCAGTGCCTCTCTAGGATGAGCACTATAGCCAAGGTTGATGCTTCTGACAGAAAAGGACACAGGCGCTCATTGTGTTACATGAGTTCTACAAAGGAGAGAAATACACTGGGTTTGGTGTTCGACGTAACTTCACTCTGTGGTCGATGAATCTTAATGGGCACAATTAATTTCCTTTACGCCTCAAGTGGCCCTGAGTTTCAGAGAGAGAGAGACATTATTTCAGCGCCATTAGATTACCCTGCAGAATAGGTTGTTTAATTCAACGCCATATCATGGGCAGCAATAAATCCTAATAGCTACACAGTAAAGAAGTTAAAGGTGTCGATCTGAAAAAACCTAATAAACAAGAACCAATTATTTTCAAGTGCCATTCACAAAGCCCGACATGCTGCTGCTGGCCATGGCATCTCGAGATGCCTCCTCTCTCCTTCTTGTTGCTCACAACATCCCAAAATGTTCCCATAAAACACACTTAATGATCCACAGTGACAAGTTCTGCTGCAAGGATGCATTTCTGATTGGTTCCCAATAACAAAACAGTGGCAGGACGGGTACTTAGAATAATGAGTGAAATCAACAACTATGTTCTGTGGGGTTCCTTGATTAAATGCACTGTTCCTGCACCAAGTGGCAACACTAAGCCTATGTGGCATTTATGTTTACCGAGGCATTACAGTAGCTGAGAGAGCACATTAAAACCCATCATTGAAAATGCTCTGTGATGGCCACTTTCCTCCTCTCCCTGAGTCTCTTTTGAGACAAGGAGGGTAATTATGATAATTCAGTTGTTAATTACATTTACATACATCAGGACGTGAACAGTCGAGCAGGCAGTTTGCATGCATGGAGAACTGATTAAAATTTGAGTATTTTTCATATCTTGTCTAACATACTCTTAATTGAGGCTGTAGTTGTTCAGCAAAACAGACACAAACTTAGAGCCCCCCCTTGGGTGTTGAGTTTTCATGCTAGGGAGATTCCAGGGAACGGCAGGAAAACAAACAGACGTGTTGACAAGAGGCCAGAGATCAGGAGCACACAGCCACCATTGAGACATCAACGCCAACCCGCCCCCCCTTCAATAGCTCAGGTCAAGAATCAGATTTCCCCCTGCTAGCCCCTCCTGAATATCCAGAAGTTAAAAATCATAAGCTAATCCAGACCAGTGCTCAGAGGCAACCTGAGCCTCTAACATAACATGAAGTCGGGTCAAGCTCCTTGTTTCCCCACTTCATACAGGAGACTTAGCCCAGCAGCTCTATGGGGTAAGGTGGCTGCTGTCAGGTAATTAAGCCCATCATCACTTTAATGTAAGGTCTCTGTCTGATGACACATATGTCGCCTCTCAGCACTTCACAGATTAATTTAAACCCCCCTAACCGCCTGACAAGATCCTTCACTGTAATTGATCTCTGTTTCTAGCCTCTCTTCTGCCCCGATTCACCATGTGGTCCATAATTTACACACACTTCAGGCTGGTGGTTTTAGAAATATTATCGCACAATAGGATGTCCATTATCTCCTGATCTATAGCAAAAAAAAGGCTTCTGTGAAGTTGCCGAGAGTAACCATGGCAACACAACTTGAAATCCCAATGTAAGGAGGAGAGGATAACCTCTGACATACTGTGCACAATACTTCTTAAACGTATTCCCAGAAGTGTATATATAATGGTTTTGGATGAGGCCTGAGATTAAAGAATTTGATAGGGTCCAAGCTTCAGCTGCAGCGAGTGCCTCAGTTTGCCTCATGGTAATAAAGACACGGGGATTTGAAACGGCGCAATCCCACTGGGAGCTATCCCTCATTCTAAGGTGAATCTGTAATTTCTGTCTGCAAATTAGCCCTTTCCCCAAGACTAACACAACCCTCTTTTCTTTATCACACCTGAATTACATCCAAAATTTAAAGGCAGCCATCTGTAACATGCCACGCTGCAACCAAACAATAGAAGAATTTCACAGAGACAATGAACTGCACAAATATAGTGGAGCAGCACTCACCTTCAGCAGGATCTGGTGGCCCGAAGTCCAGGTCATAGCGCAGGGTATAAAAGTTATTCCACACGTATAGCTGGTTGTCCCTGGGGTTGTAATCCACTGCGGTGATGTACTGGTACTGGTTGGGGAAGAGAATGTCAGTGTACTCGCCCTGGCTCAGCTTGGTATTGTAGATGTAATCAATTTGGCTCCTGCTGGCCTCGCTCTCGTTCTCTTCGTAGGTCGAGCGCACCACATGTAGCACGCCGCACACCATAAAGGCGTTAGAGGCAGAGCGCTTGTCGTACGCTGTCTCCCATGTGGCCTCAAAGCGGAGAGTGTACGGGTTGAGCTGGCTCACCACAATGCGCCCATTGTTCTGCTCCGTGGCGTAGATTACCCATAAGCCCCTCTCGTCTACTGCCAGGTCAATGTCAGTCTTGCCACCCCAGCGATAAGGTGAGGTGTCATGATAGTTGGCATTATTAACAATAGCCTCGCCACTTTTGATGCGGGTGCGCAGGTCAAACTTGACAATGTTGCGAGTGCGTTCCTTGTTAAAGAAGATAGCACCATCATAGGCAACGAAGCCTGTTCCATCAACACGGTGCGGCAGTTTATAGGTGGTCGTCTGGCGACCATTTTTGAAGTCCTCCAGAGAGGCATACTCGATGAGGGTATCAGTGCGGTACGGCGTCCACGGCATGAAGAAGACTTTGTCACCGGCCTGCAGCGGGTCCTTGCACCACGACCCGGCTTGCTGCTCTGCCTCAAACAGGAAGGTGGCGTCTCCTACACCCTTCAGAGTCCCGGGACAAATGAAGACTAGTGACAGAGAAGAGAGTGAAACAAAATCCAATAAGGCAAAATATTTCACAACACACATAACACATTTGACACGCATCATTCTCGCTGCTGTACAACTCAAGTAAAGGACAAAAAGATCAGGGACTGTGGATTTGGATGATTTTTTTAACTAGTGCTTTTGAACTATTGCTAACGAATAGGGAAAAAGGAAAATAAATGAATGTGTCATAGTGATGATTCAGAATGACAAATGTGAGGTTGAGAGAACTTGCATCTCAAGGGTCTGCCGCTACATCCTAACAGGGACAAAACAAAATCAAAACGTGAACAAAAAAGGTAAAAATCCTGCAAATGAAAGACAGGGAAAATGGGAGAAGTAGAGGTCAGGTTTTTTTCTTTATAAATACCAGCCTGTCTCTGACGTCAAATACCACACGAACAGCTGCGTATTATGGACATACTGCACATGCATATTCACATGACTGAGGTCATAAATCAAAATGATAAGGGAACAGACTTCACATCTTGTGATAAGAGTGAACAACAGGTTGTCAATGGTGGTGGCGGCAGCAAAGCAGAGGTAAAATGAAAGTGAAGGTTGGGGAATAGATCAAACAACAGTGGTAAAGGATTTTCACTACTTCTGTGGCAAAAGACAAGAGTAACCACTGATGGGTGAGGGAGGCCATGGCAAGGTTCCCATTGAGATGGTTTTGAAGTAATTGGTTCTGGATAAAGAAGGGACAAAGTGAATTCTTGTTTTCCTTTCAAAGTTTTTTTTGTGTCTGTGCCAATCTCACTCAGCCATCACTGCTATTTCACATCACGTGCTATGGGTGCAGCAGAAGTTGGGCCAAGCAAACTAAGACTTGCCAAACAGGAATATATAAGAATATATATACACAACTACTCATTCTTCAAGGGTTAACACAGGACTAGGCAAGAGTCCCTGGAACAAATCAACACCTAACAGTTGGTGTTTTCTTTCACGTTGCGAGAAATAAACTACATTTGATGACCGTTGGTGTCATTTGAAATTCTGTTTAGAAATTCATTTGGACTCCATGGGTGCAAACAATCCTCCTACAAGTTTAGCATTTAACAGGAGAGGCAATCAGGAGAACGGGGAGGAGGAGGAGACGTGAGGGGAGCTGTACTCAACACCACAGAACAAGGAGTCAGAGGAGGAGGAGGAGGGGGTGGGGGGGTGACCAGACCACTCATTTACCTTTTTGCTCCACTTCTATTTCAGGCATTGGAAAAGAAAGCAAAAAAGAGTGCAAAAGGGAGAGAAAGGTTATCATGAGTCAACTACCAGGTACAAAGAGAAGAGTTAGTTGGAGGTTATGACCATGAGATGAACTGCAGGGCTGCTTAGAGAAGAAGAGCTGGGTGGGGTGGGGGCAAAAAAAGGTTGTTTGTTAGTCAAACGGCCTCTCATCCTAGGATATAGAAGCAGACAAGTTATGGCTGGAGACAAGCTATGTGCCATGCTTTCTAGCACATTAAACTTTTCATCCCTACTTTTAACTGCCAACAAAGTAATGCATTGGCCACTGTAAAAGCAGAAAAAAAACCCTCTAAAAATGCTTCTCCTAAGTGGCAGGATTAAAAAAAAATCTCCTAGTCATATTTAGATGGATAACATTCTTGGAGAAACAGCACAAGGGTTATTTTGGCATGTACTGACTGAGGGTGGAACTTGTTCAAACTTTATAAACACAAATCAAAACTCGATTCCAAACTCGCTCGCCCACACACGTAAAACATGACACGGTGCTAATGTTACAGACCAAACTCTTAAATGAGCCAAAGAGAGCAACAGCGCATGAGATGACTGATGAATAGTCAGCCTAATATGGAGTTTCTTTAGTGGACTGTTGAAGCTGCATACACTGGGTGGAGGGGGAGAGGCTGGAGACAATATGTGAAAGATTGGAAGTTGAAAAAAAAATGAGAGCCAAGAGGTTAGTCGGAGGGGGAACGGGACAGGAGGTGAAAGGGAGGTCTGTTTGAAAGAAGAAAAAAAAAGAGGTGAATATTTTTGAAAATGTTTATAATTCATCAATTTGAATACTAAGTACTTTCACAGGCGGGGATGAAGCCCAAAGCTGCTCTTGTAAACTACTCTAAAACACAATTTTAAGGGAGATTAACTCAAATCTGATACCTTGGACAGTTTAATATAGTGCCGGATTTAACCAACTCCACAGTACATTTAATTAACCAACTCCACAGTACTTTTAATTAAACCATTTTTACAGCGAAACACTAAAGCCGATCCATGACCGGATACAGGAATTTGGTTAAAAGATGTAGAATCATCTCAGACTTTTAGGATTTTTATCATTTATGCTGTTTTACTCCAGTATCCTCTGTACTATGTTTCCACAGAACATTAGTGAACATAATTAAATAATGTAAGACATATTAATGTACCCATTTCTTTGTTGTTATCTCCCCTTTATTATCTGAGCAAAAAAACATCAAATCTAAAGTCACGGTTATTAACGCCATTTAAAGGATCGGGTCACCCAAATTTTATATATATATATGTTCTCAGTTACCCCCAACGTATCTAGTCATGCAGTTTTATTTGCCCAGGTTTGGAAATATCTGCCTCTTAGATTTCCCCCACCACCCAAACACAGCAGAGGTGAATGGAATTTTGTTTGTGGTGCTCACAGCAGTGAAAAAGAAAACATTTTTATAGGGACTATTTCTTATGTAGGAAGTTGTTCCAATCCAAACTTTTCACAGAGAGTTATGTGGATTATCTAGAGAAACAGGGTTCCTGAAGCAGAAATCTTACACAAACATTGATGGGGTTCGTTGAAACTGAAATGAATCCAAATTCAGTATTAAGCTAATCAGGTCTAGCTTTCAACATTTGTAAGTAACTAAAGTTATGTATAACTAAAACTGAATCGGTAACCAGTCACCTACTGTGATCTAAAACACTACTGTTTTAGAGGCTGCCAATTTGCAACCTGTAGCTACAACCTGAAAAGACATGAAGATTACTACATTTTAAAAACAGAACTAATAAGTTGATGAGCTTCAAATATTGATGTGATGTGTATAAAAGTAGGTCATGTTGAACTATAAAAATATCCAGTCTACTCGTGGTCATAGGGTTGTGTTAGAGTGATGTTTTCCTTCACAAACCACTTTGGCTGAGAACCGACACCGGCTTGCAGAGAGCACATTACCCAGACAAAAGCTATTAGTTACATTTAAGCTATTTCAGAAATAACAATATGTCTAATGTAGTCTAGTTTGGGACTGATTCGGCCCTCCCGACAATCGTGGGTTGGTAACGACTGGTTGGTAACGATTATCGGCCCAAATGATCCTGTAGTGAGAGGGGTTTACAAACCTAACTTTAACAGCCAATGAGAGCTGACCAGGAAGCGTCACTAACGTGTTTGCTACTCGCTCACACTATAAAATGTATAAACCATGCTGATTCCCTCTTCTCAATCCTTGAGTTTATCAGTCCATCCACAGTTTTATTCTCTTTTTTTGTCTTGTGCAACTAGCTGAGGAAGACAGTCGGGCTCCATCTTTGTTTATATCTGAAGTCATGTTTGTTCACGCAAGTTTCTGTGAGCTCCCAAGTCCCCAGAATCGGCACTCTGAAATCGTTCAATATAAAGTGTGTGGTCCTTGCTTTTGACAGAACCTTTTGGTGGGTGTGTTCTTAAGATTAAAATATAAAAAAATCAGTTAATTCTGTCTTTATTTCTGTGATATACCATATATTTTTTAAATCGGTTAAGATTTAAAAATCCTCTAGTGTGGTAGGGTCTTTTGCCGACCGGGAAGCAGATTCAAAATGGAAACAAAACCCAACCTGGATAAATAAAATCAAAAACTAGAGGTAACTGAGAAATTTGCTTTGGTTTGTTTTTAATTTTGGTGAACTGGCCCTTTAAATGACTGCACCACGCAACCCTTCAACTTAATTTATCATCATTAATGCTAGTCTCGTTCCAAATCCTTCCAGTTTCCAGCTGAAGCATCATCTGTAAGACAAACACATATTTGCAACTGGAGAGAGACTGTGGTTACAGCAAATCTGTCTATTCTACACACACTTTAAAAGCACACAATAAGAGTTCAGTATGAGATTTGGATGGCGATACTTACTATAGGGAACACACTCATACTGGACCTCTAAGTACTTGTAGGTGCCAGGGCATGGATCAGGAAAGACATCAGAGCCAGTGACAACCACACACTGCGTACGGTTGTTGCACCTAGAAAGAAAAAAGATTGACCAGAGATTTCATCATGACTACCCACACCAAGAGTACTCGGCAAAGACAACATTAATAACACAGAAGGGGGAAAGTTCATCATTACGGCTACAAAGGAATTGACGAAATCCCAGCCAGGACTGTCACATATGCATTCTAGTTTAAACCTTGGCAAACAGAGAGAGAGGGATGAAAGCATTAAGGAAGAGTAAATGAATGTGAATGAATGTGGTAATGAATAACTGAGCGAGAGAGCAGCGAAAGGCATGTTAAGAATTAGCGATGGCATTTCCTTTAACAGCGTCTTCATAGCGCTATTGAAAGGGAAGACATTCATTAAAACACACACGACAGGTGGCGGTGACATGCAGTGGACTGGAATGGTGGCCTCTGGTGAAACGGAGCAGCTCCTCTGCATGTATGCAACAAACACGACGTGAATGTGTCGTTTCTATGAGAGGTTATTTGCATCCCAGAATGAAATAGTGTCCCTCAGTGAATTAACAGTCTAATGTGTGAATTGCAAAGTTAGTGTATGTGTGTGTGTGTGTGTGTGTGTGTGTGTGTGTGTACGTGTGTGTGTGTGGTTGCAGATGTTTCTGGGTAAGTAAAGAGGGAGAGGGAAAAGAAGAACAGCAGAGGACTGAGTTTGTGCAAATACTCTATAGGGTGAAATTGGCTCCACTTCAATCAAGCTCTCTTGAGGCCGAGGGATTGAGAATAATTTCAGCAGTAACAGAGGCAAACTGGGAAAAAATTGGCACCAAAATAGGACATTCAACAATTTGCAAGCTTGAGATAAATATTACAGAAGGTCAGTAGCAGTCATGCAAGTTGGACATACATTTCAACATTGGACATGACTTTCAAAAAATCATTAGTAATTCAAGAGGTTTTCTGTGGCTGCAAAATGGGATTATGTTGCACAACCACACAAAGCCTTGACTGTGCACATTTAACTATGAATGAAGGACTATGAAGAATAAAAGGTAAATATATGTACAAGCCACACTCTAAATCCAGCTATGCATTCTCATAAAAAAAGACCTTCCCTTGAAACTAATGGATTATTAAACATTACATATGAATAAAAAGGGGCAAAGTCCATTATGAAGTTAACAAATAGTATCAGCATCATCAGCAACATCACTGACAATATGGTGCCAGCTGCACTTAATAAGATCCACTTTTATGGCCTCTCTGCAGTGGGAGCTGCTGCGGGAGAAGGGTCACTGCAACAAAATGTGAATGGACTGACAGCAGAAACACTTCTAATCCATCCGAGGTACTCTATTTAATTCTGTGTTTAGAGTATAAGTCTGACTGACACTAGTTCCAAATAGCAGAAAGAAAGTTTGCTAAAGTACTGTACTTATGTACAATTTTGAGATACTTGTTGTTTACTTGTGGATTTCATTTAGTGCTACTTTGTGCTTCTACTCTACATTTCATTTTATAGGAAAATAATCCACTTTACCCATCTACATATAAGTGACAGCTATAGTCATTTAACAGATGAGAATTTAACATACAAAATGTATGATTAGCTCATTAGATATAATGCATTGATATGTGTTATTATAATAACAATTACACATTGTAAAATTTGCTTCACTTCCACCAGTTATAATATTACACTGCTGCTTACATGTTGCCGCATCTGTGATAATCATCCAATTATAAAATACATATAATAATGCACACTTTGAAAGAAGGAGTAAGCATCATAGTTGTTTTTACTTTGTGCTGTTAACAAAAAAACTTTTAATGCAGGGTTTTTACTTGTAATGTAGCATTTCTTTCATTTCTTTACTACTTTTACTTAAACCTGCATTAACTAATAAACCTTTTTTTTGCCACATGAGGGGTGTGCAACAAGCTATAAACACAACGCAGACATATTAACATCATATCATGTGTTTGCAAAAAATTGCCTATTTACACGTACATAAGGACCCAGAGCAACATTAGCATTCTTTTGGGGTCGTGTTTCTGGCCACCTGATGCATGTAAGTACAATATTCACTCTCCTTTAGTCCTGTTTTGGTCCCCACCAACTCCAGAGGGAAATGTCTGCTTCTTTAGCTGCTAAATGTCTCACTATGTTCACCAGCTAGTTGCTGAGCAGGTAGTGTAAGGTCAGTTAATCAGACATTTTTCACTGAAAACACAAAGAGCACAATGAGGGCGGTTAGACTGAACCAAAACAAGTTGCCAGCTAAATAACCAAAACACTGTGCTGAAAAGGGAACTGCAGAGTGTGTTTCTCTGCGGGCTTGTCACTACAACTGAGCCTTTTCACATTGCCCAAGGTCATCTCATCCATTGTTAATATACAAATACTGATTAGTGCAGCTTTAAGTAAAAGATCTAAATACTTCAATGCTACCACTGCTGCTAATTTCTTTGAGATTCTAAGAATCCACACTAGCATTTATTGTACTGCAATTTTTGGATGCTCTTGTTTTGGAAAAAGGGGAGGTGTTGTTGCTAAGCATTTTGTCACACTTCCGTTGTTTTAAACTGCCACTGAAATCACTGCATGTAATCTCCATTGCACTGAGCACAATCACATGGTAGTAAAGCAAGCAGGATTCAAAGAGCTGCACCTCTGACTGGGTAAAAGATTTATTCTGTTACTTTCACTGGGTCGGAGAATAGATGGCCATTGAAATAAGGTAATGCAAGTCAGCAAAGCAGCCTTATTTAGATTGTCCTCTTCTGTGTGAATAGTTTTTTGTACCTACACTAGTAGGAAACAGAGAGGTTGAGACGACAAGGGCGGCGGAATGAGAGGACAGACATACCGTGCATTCACAGTACATCTCTGACGGACTGATCGCCTGAAAGGCCCAGTAACCTGAGTTTCCATCAGTTCCTTCATACATTTTTCATCCAGCCAACAATCAAATATTTTTCTTCACAAAACACTTTTTGATGTAGATGTTGAAAATCAAACCGTTTGATTCCTATGCAGTTGTTTTCGTTGTGAAAAACCGGCTGTTGATGAATCCTTGGTGTTCGCAATTTTCAACCAAGACTGCCACTCTGTGCTGCAGACGTCCCACTGTTTCTATCTCCCCAATCGTGTTTAATATGTTTGTTTATCTGTCTGTGGTGCTACTGCCTTTTGTTAATCTCCCCAATATTGGCAGCACATTGTTTCTTAATGTGACGCAGTTAAACATCCTCCTTGCTATTAGTTTGCTGCAGACTGAAGGAGGACTGATTAGAGTCTCCCAAAGCTTTGTGACCGTCCCTGGTTATCACATCAACCTTAATTATGGTCAGGAGCCCATTTCCTCTGATCTGAATCATTAGAATAATTCTTTTTAAGGGCTTGCAGTGCAGAGTCTTCTCAAAGCCTTCGCTCGCTCACTGCCTCCAGGGGATATTCGATGGAGATAAGTTTGAAGTGCAGCTCTAGCAAGTGAGAGTCTGACTTGTCAACAGATGTGGTGCACACTGTAGCAGGTTGCAGTCAAACCAAAGGGCATGGACCCTTTCAGAACAGTTACTATATGAGAGTACTGGGACTCAGCTGTAAATTTAGAAAGACAGCGTAAGACAGGAGGACTTGATCTATTCCTGAGATATTCTGTAGTGCTGCATCTCGTGGGAGTAAATACAGAAGTGAATGAATCAGGGTAAAATCCAGAGGTGTAAGATTGTGGGCGATGATGCTCAGAAGCTAGCTTCAGGGAGGCCAGGTTAGGACAGATCAGTGCATTAGAACATGAACTGCGCTGGTTACTATTTATGAATAGTTCATCCGGTGCCCTTTAAAAATACACACGCCTCTAGGGGTAAGCAGCAGTCAAGCTGAAGTGTTGCTGTGCTGTCGTTTGACAGGAAAGCAGCATTCTGTGAGAGGGTAACCGCGATAAAAGGCATGATGATGGGCATTGCTCACTACCTGAGGCAAAGCCACTTCAATGCAGTGTGAGTGTTTGAACAAAGCAAGTCCAATGTTCCAGATAGGGAATTAAGAGGGTGCTCATGTGACTCGCAGTGTCTCTGAGCTACGCTGATTATGACTCAAACAGGAGCAACAACGCGCAGCTGGTGTGAAGAGCTCTGCCGCACGGATGTCAATTCCTGCCTGTCAAGAATTAATCCAGTTTTCTGAATTTCAAAATGCCACCTACATGATTGGGGTAGATGAAATAAAAAAATTTAAAAGGTGTGAGATGTTGATTAATTGTCCGGTATGTAGGTGGCTGTACGAGCAGGGTGATAATTTAAACATTTCTTTTGTGTGCAGAAATGCTAGCGCAGGGTGGGGTGGGGGTGGGTCCATATTTTGAATCCCCAGCTCCTGGATGTGTTTGTGAAATCAGATCCCTCCTCTCCCCAGAGTCTTACCTTTGTGATATAATCTTGTAGGCATCGGGGAGGTAGCAGTTGACGTTCTCCATCTGGAATGGGTCAGCGTCACAGATCTTGTCATCAGTCCGGCCGTAGTTGGCCGTCTCGATCATAATGACATCACTCCCCGGGCAGCGGAGATCAATTGCATATCCCTCACACGAGAGCTCCCTCCTGACCAGCCCGAAAGGCAAGGCTGCCCGGCTGAAACCTGATGAGATACAAAGACAGAGAAGAAACTTTAGGAAAATAATAAAAATTGATGAGTGAAAGGGATCACTGCTTCAATACAGTAAGACCACACATCATGTGGTAAAAATCCACTGGCACAAAATAAATAGGCAACAGGCGTCCAATGTTTACCACAGTTTTAAACAGACGGGCCATTACATGCGATACAGGAATGAAGGAAGACGTAACAATTCATCTCTCTGTGGTCTTGGATGTTGGCTAAGATATCAAATCTAAGTCATTGGAGAGCAATGGTAACCTCATAAATTCTTGAGCAAACACAAAGGCTACAGAGCATCAGGAAGGCCTCCACCCAGAGAACATCCAACGCACAGCCAAACCTTTCTGGACTGAGAATAGTTTGTTTTACGGCCGTACAAGCCCCCTCATTTGTTTCTTCTGTTTTAGTTGCCCTGTAAAGGAAGATAGAGAAAAAGACAGAATCCCGGCAGAATGAAGTGTAATATAATCCATTTTATAGTGTCGGCGATCGAAGAGTCCACACAGGAGGAAAAATCTATACATGGAACACAGCAGATGGGAGCGCAGCCAAATAGCTCTACATTGGGGAAAAATGAAATATTTTACTCAAATTTGCTGCTCACATCCCCACCCCCTTCAGCAAATTACAATGAAATAGGTTATTCCTCTGTATTTCCTCTTTCTAAGTAATAAAATGTCATGTCACAAATGGGGTGGAACTACAGATAGGGAGATTTGCAAAGAGAGAGAAAAAAGAATACTACAGAAAGAAAGAAAACTCCATTAGCTGAGTTTAAAATGATCCAAAGTTAAAAAAAGAAATGTAACTGTCTGCAATTCTGAGAAAACAATTAGGTAAAATCTAAGTAGAACATGCAAATGTGTTCCATTTAAGAAGTGCAAGCAGAGCGCTGCATGAACTGTCAATAATCGCCGTTGTTTGCAGCAATAGTGGGTCCCTGAGGGGGCAGCTACCATTTGTATTTCCTGCACTGCTCTCTCCTAATTAGCCCTCCTTTCAGCCTGTTACCTTTTCCATGCTCCCATTGGCTCGCGAGCATTGTCATGTACTAACACTTACCACCCCAGGTTCACTTTGCCCCCTCACTCTAATTATCCTCACACTTTTGACAGTCAGGGCCTGACGCAATTAGCATTGTTTGAACTGCTCGAAGTTGAAGTGATACCGGCTTGAAATTCCTACCCTGAAACCCCAGACGCAAATGTCTGCTAGTCATTCCAGCCTGCTGTGCCTGGCTCAGTTATAATGATATTCTATGTCAGTCTGCACATGTCACACTACCAAACAGAAAAAGAAAATCCATCCACTGTTAAGAATATAATGTTGAAGACATCGCATATTAGGAGAAACCTCTGCACACACAAGTAGTGGTAGCCATATAACAAAATATGAAACTAATGGCATAAATTCTCTGGCATTCGGCCACAAGACATTTCATTATAATACCATGATCTATCTAATGGCCAGTAGATTCTGCTTAGCTGGACTGTTTATCACCTCATTAGGAGACGTCACTGTAGCCGAACCATAAGTGGAGGGCTGTGGGGTCACTCCATCTATTCCAATAACTACTACAATTACCCAAACCTTTCAGAAAACCTGTCCAGAATGGTGAATGATAAAACACAGAGTGAAGTCGCCGGCTTTACTGCGAAGACTAATGATTGTCCCGCCTGCCATTGCTCATGGAAGGAGTGACGGGTTTATCACGGCAGCTACAGAGAGCAGACAGAAAGAATGCATTTCATGGGGTTTTAAAATTCTGAGCCGAGTCTTTCGGCTAAAACACCCTGACGGACACACACTAGCACACGCCATCTGCCTTCATAACCTCCTTTCTCTGGCTGTCCACTGGCGAGCCTGGCCATCTATCAGACCACTATGGCATGATGGCATGCTGCTGTCAACGGAGTCCTAGCGATTGATTAGGCTTGTGCCTCACTGGCCTCCTCCTCCCTCGCCTGTATAGATCTCTGGTCATAGGCTAACACTACATCAATTAGGGGGAGTTTCGAGACCGTACTGGCCACCTAAAGAACAAATTGCTTCTTCTCCGAACTGCGGATAGTCTCTGTCTCATTAATGACTGTCTTGTCAACTTGTAATTGGGCAAGTAATGACAAATCTGTCTAAAAAGTTAAAATATATATGAAGGAGATTTTTTCGCTCTGCATGAGGAGGAGGAGGAGGAGGAGAATTCAAAGGAATATATTTTTGGTTGACTTAACTTGATGTTGCTTAAGATTTAAAGATTTAAGCACAGCTAAGAAGGAAAAGCCTTGCGACAACAAAGGTTTCTGGATGTAGGTATTCTTGATTTTCTCGGTTTTAAACAAGTTTTGTGAGATTTTGGAAAGAGAGGAGGATTGTTTGTGTGCACAAATGTCAATGTCTTAGGGAGGTATGAAAAGCTTTTCATCTCACACTCTGTGCTTTGTTTGACTGCACAACTTTGCCGAAGACTGCGACAGAAGGGCACCAGCTGCAGGGAAAACGGTGTCAAGAAAGCTGCAGGAAAAAAATCCATAACACGATCCCAGTGTGTGCGTTGAAAGAAAAAAGCAAGTGGGCTGCTCTCTCTGTATCTGTACCTCAGATTAAGGTTAAATTACTCAATCAGTGAGGGAACTGAATAATGCTTTATTTAGAGCATTTAGTCAAATTGCCATGGAAACCACTTTGACTAGAATTATCTGTGATCCCTATTCCTGGCCTTGTTGACATGAAACCTTATCATGCATTCTGGTCAGAGAGTGACTGTGAGGAAAGTAGCTTTTCAGATTCCTCCCCCAACCTGCCTGCTAAGCCATCTATTGAGCTCAAGAGAGCAAAGCATGGGCCGGGACCGCTTCTCAATATGTTGCATTCTGGGAGTTTTTCTTCTCCAGTTGACAGCCTATAATTCACTGGCGACAATTCCCCCCACCTCATAATACATATTTTGTTTTCTATCAACACCCTTGAAATTGGAAGTGGCACTGTGGCTCAGATGGGTGCATCTGAAATCATCTGCAGAGTTACACTCGGTGGCTTTTAAAACCCTGGAGATGAAACAAAGATATAATAGAGGTTTGGTGTCAAGATATTGCCATTTGGTGACTGCAAGCACCAGACCATAACACACATGGTGAGGTTCACTGTTGCTGTTCTGTGTGTTAGCTCTCAATAGTGCAGTCGTGACTAACTTTTAACCCTTCAAACTCCACTGCATCAGGCGATCAGACGGTGGGAGACAAAACCGGAGGAATGTTTGATCAGTCAAAAAAAAAAAAAACTGGGCCACTTTTGGAGGCTAGACAGAGTGGCGAGGGCTGGCACAGACAGAGAGCAAAGGCGTTGGTTGACGCTTGTCATCCTCCATTAAGGTTCCTTTGATTGGCCTTTGTGGTCCTGGAAACGGCAAACAGCTGCATGCAAATAGCCCTGTTTCCCCAAGGCTGGCCCCCATTGTTCTGGGCTTGGGTTTGACAGGGACGCTTTCTCTGCAGCATAAAGGAGGGTGTAGCCTTTAGTCAAATAAGAGTGCCCCCACCGTGGTCACAGCAGGAGTGCTTCAAGATTGTTTGTCTTTTTAAGTTGTTTTATTCCCGATATTACTGGTAGCCAACATCTTTGGAAGAAAGAGCAGATCTTAGAGTCAAGCTTTTCCTCCAACAGCGGGGGATGCCTCCATAATCCAATATCCGGAGTGACAGAGTGGTCATACAGAGTGTTTTGCTCTGGTGGAGTAAAGATTTTCAATGTGTGTTCATAAAGTAGGACAAAAAAATGGAAAACACATTTGAATTCTTAATATTAGGGAACAAAGCATCATCAGTGTTTTTCCTCTTTTTTCCCCCTTTGTTCTTCACTGCAGTATTTCTAATCTGTTCAGTGGAACGTTTTGATTTCTGGCCAAGGCATAAAATTAGTTTAGAAAAAATAAAAATTCAAGAAACCACTGCGGTAACCCTTTTATGTATTATATAAAACAAAAGTACACTTCACTGTACCTACACATGCCTCTAACCTGACAAACTAAGTACTAATTCAGCTTACACTGTACTAAGACAGCACTCAAAATGTCCATTTACACATCCCTGAATTTTTAAGGTATCCAGTGTGCAAAAATGCACATGACCGCCCATCACAAGTGACAGACACAGGAGCAAGGTGGGAGATGAGAAAAGAGATTTGGGACTCGCAAAATAACACCTGCTTTTCAAATACAGTCAACACCCCAAGATCTTTTCACTATGCCACAGCGGCTCATGTTTCATTTCAACTGTCGAAATGAGGTGAAACACTGAGAATCTAGTTGGACATATGGCACCATTTCCCATGACACTTTAGTCCCTGCTCTAGTCCACCTTGCTGGGAATTGTTTCTAAAGACAGTGTCAGACAAGACCACAAACCCCGGGGCTACACCCGCCTTTCCCAGACAACTGCTATCAGACACTCTTGATTCCGATACAAGTATTCTAAAATAGAAACTGGCAATATAGGACTGAGTCCATTTGTGGTTAGACGAAGTGCTCTGAGTCATATCTCTTTTCTCTTTCTGGTGATACATGAATTCAGTGTTGCCACTTCAAATTCCAAAGCCATCATTTGTATTCATGGCCATGGCCTTTTCTCTACCGCATCTCTTGAATGTTTTCTTGACTTAAAAAACCCACAGTAGGTGGGAAGAGAGAATCACATGCTCCATGTTGACGCATGTCTTGTTGAAGAGGTTTAGGGGTACGGATTTGTCAATTTGCTAAGGCTAAGTGTGACAGACCCTGCTGCTACCTCTTAACTCCTCAGGTGGGTCCATTTAGAGACAGCTAGATCCTATCACGCTAGATGCAGGCGTGTAATGCCTTCTCTTTTAGGTGAGCAACAAGAATTTAAAGGGAAAATCCAGTTTTCAACCTGGGTCTTATTCTTGTAATTGTGGCCACTTTGACAACTGGGTTATTCTAACTTTGCACAAACCACATACATTCATTG